AAGATGCCGGGCATATGGCTGTGTGAGATAATCACAACATCCTTGCCAGATCTCCTGTTTTTATTGTCCATGCACACGCTGAAGAAATTATTTATTCATGTGATGTGAGGCCGTGATTAGCATCGAGGCGAGAAGAAAACACTAAAGATTCTGTGCTTCAGGATAGTGAATATTTCTCACAGAAGGTAACCTGAATGTTTGAAGGGAAGGTTCCTCCCTTTTTCAATGAAACACATCTTTTTATGAGAATGCAAATAAAAGAACAAATGGAAAAAAGAGAACATGCTTATTTAGCACGGCTAGCTTGTTAACAGAGCAGCTCAAAGGATGATTCATCACTGCAGGCTGAAATATCTTGCTAAGTACTGATCGCCTTACAATGACATCTTCTACTAATGTTTATGTTGTTTTCAGGACTTTTTACGGCTGCAGTGATGTAAAGATGTATCTGTAGAGATAGAAAGTGCTGCATGTCCCTCATCTTTATCTCCTGATCAGACACGGAGCAAAGAGGATGTAGGTACAAGACGCGATCTGTCGTCGGCAAAACTACAGGGAATATCATACATTTAGAAAAGAGCACCAGTGACGTCATCGGCCACTTACTGAAAAGTTGAAGGATTTTCAACTTGAGTGCTTGGAGAGGCAGCACAACATCAAAAGACGCTGGCAGGGCGCTGCACTTATTCTGGGTGGCCACCTGCTGGGCGGCGTTAAGGCTTTCTGCTCATTGAAAACAATTGAAAAAAAGACACAGGGGCTCAGAAAAAAACACTAGGAGGACACAGGGCCTAACTCCTCCTCCATTGTGGTGTTGAAAAAATACCACAACATGTTTGTTTGTGTTTGTTTTCTTCAGGTGTTTGTGACAAATGTTGGCTTCTCTTTCTTCTCACTTTCTTTCTGTTTCTGTCACTAAACAAACATTCCTCTTTTTTTGATCTCAGCGTGACTAAACCCTGATTAAAAAACACAGGTTAATTCTCATTCATGATTCAGCGCCCGGTCACAAGACGAGGACAAGTATACTTGAGGTCTGCTTCCAATTAAGGAACCACAAAAACTTCCTGTAGGCTCCTCTGATTCTATCTGTGCTCATCTCATAAACAAGTATATAAAAAAAAGAGGATCGTGGGATTTTACAAAAAGAGAACAGGAAAGTGTTTGAGAGGAAACGATGCCTCGCAGCAGGATGGCACAGCTGTGAGAAAGATACAAGTAGACTTCACCGGTTTAACCCACTTTATTCCCCAACCAGGAGAATCTTCCACTCCTGTCTACGCTTCCCTTCGCTCTGCAGAGGTCACACTGTGCTGGAAAAATAAATAAAGTTACAGTGTTTAGTCTCATATCAAGTCTGAGTGGATGACTTTCCTGGAACTAGAAATACCACAGTTTAAAAAAGATTCTGTCACAAGTTAAAGTCATGCAGGTAGACTCTTACAAAAGAACAACAATAAATTCCTTAAGAGTAGAAAATACTGAAATATTTTTCAGAATCACACTGAATTATGATCGTTGCTGCATTAATGTGTTCACTATACAGTACTTAAAAGATACAGTGGTGACGTAGTGGTTGGTGCCCACGCCCCATTTACCAAGGCTTAGGTCCTCCAGGCGGCTGGCTCAGGTCAAAATCTAACTTGAGGCTCCTTTCCCGCATGTCATTCCCCACCCTCTCTCCCTGATTTCTGACACAGTCCACTGTCCTGTCTCTACAATTAAAGCACAAAAAGCCCCAAAATATGAATACCTAAAAGATAAAGTAAAAGTAAGGGTGAGAGATTAAAGGCACCACTTTGACCACAGGGGGCGCCAAAGTCAACATACTGGTAATTACTCACGGGAGCTTTAAGTGCAGTTCTGAAGTAAATGTACTACGATTCTATTAATATAGAGACAAGTAAGACAGTAAGTTCAGTAATAAGGTATTAAATTGGAAATATCTGCTTTATTCAAAGGTCCTTGAAGGCCTCACTCTGAAAGTGTTCAGTGCTTGTGTATGTGCAGTCCACTTTACTCTCAGAGTTCATCTCTTATGTAACATGAAGCTTAGGGGAAAAAAGAGACACACTTAACGTTGTTAGCTCTCATCCACATAAACATAGTCTAGACAGCTCCAGAGTCAAGATAAAACATGATTATTCAGGGGTTTCCTGTCGCTGCAGAGTCAAACAATCATAGTGAAGATTACAGTCGACAATGTAAACATCTGATGTTTCATTGTTTTACTGGAACACCCTTTCACTTTGTTGGCTCGCTCCTGTAAAACATGGATTTGTCTCTTCATCTTAAAAACTATATCTGATGGGCGCTCGATAGCCAACTGTGCCACATGCACAGAGGCCATAGTCCTTATCGCAACGACAATGGGTTCAATCCAACACCTCTGCCTTTACTGCATGTCGTCCCCCACTCTCTCCTCCCCATATTTCCTGTCTCTACTCAGCTGTCCTGTCCAATACAAATGTCCCTAAAATATAATATTTATTATTCATAATAATAATAATTCTCTTCAAAGTCCAAGTTAAACCTCTTTTCTAAAACCCTTCATTGTGTCTAAACAGTGTTACAGTTTGATTCAAGACAGTAATAAAGTCATAAAAATCTGACACAAACACTCACTGACGTGTTTGTATTAGAGCCAAGCAGGGAAATAAAGTTAAAACTGATACAATATTTCATTGTTACGATGATATATACTGTATATATCTGATTATTTTGGAGAGCAGTTCAGAGATTTTCATTCCTGTCAGAAGTGATAAAGAGTTTTTTTCCTGTTTGACGAAAAACAGGACGTGCCGTGGTTAACTTCCTGTACCACCCTGGCGATAAATATGTTTCTCTCCTGAGAGGAGGAGGAGGGAACGGAGGATCTGAGTCACAGAGGAGGGCCAGCTTTCATCATACAGTTCATATAAAATCTTCTCATGCTGAACAAACTCTGTCAATCTTTAAGACTTTATCTTAAAGTAAACAGGAGGAAAGGAAGAGCTGAGGTACAAACGCTTTCAGATAAATATTCTCATTTCTGAATGTAAAAGCGACAACTTAAATGAGAATGTATCTATCTTCATTTCATTGTTTTTTGGCCAATTTATTGTTCCCTTTTTAGTGTAAGTTCTCTCTTACTTTGAGCGGTCACATTAACACAATGCATAAACTGATATAGAAATGCTGTACGTCTACAAATAAAACAGAATGGATGTATGGATTTAAAGTTTGAACTCTATCCGTGTCCAAAAGTGATTTAAGCCCTCTGAAAACTTCATATTTCTTTATATAATAAGAATTTATCAAGCAGAAACATCCGGTGTTGTAAAATCAAGCTGATGCGGGAGTGGGACATACTGCAGTTTGTCACATACACACCCATTCAAAAAAACTTTTTTTTACTGCAGAATGAACATGTTTACAGCCTGGTTAAAAAAATGAAATAGGTGTGATTAGCTCATGTCTCGATGGACACACACTGTACGGGGGGTGAATGTTTTGATAACTCATCAGTTTTGATTTGATGAAGGATAAGAGTTATTCACAATAAGGCGTGTAGCTGACCTGATTGACGGGCGCAGTGTAACAGTTTATCAAGAGGTTTAAAATCTGCCTCAGCTCCAGCTCTCAGCCTGTCATTAGGTTGACTGAAAGTTAGACTGAGACAGCATTTCCAGCATGGAGACCGTCATCGATGAGACTCCAAAGCCCCCTGCAGGAACAGATAGCCTACATCACTCAAATTTCTACCATTAATATTTACAGTTTAGTATTTATGTATAAATAAGCAATAATTAAAGCTGCATATATGAGGGTGACAGTAATTTATATATATATATATATTATATATGTCAATACGTACATACAACATTTAACTTGTTATTTCTTAAATGATATTATGATTTTTTTGTTTATTGATTAATCTTGATTGAATTATGTATTGTCCACTTCAAACCACTTAAAGGAGTAACGAGAAAAACAGAAAAACAGAAGGAAAAAAAAGTGCGCTAACATCGTTACAAGTCTTTTTTGTAAAGATAGGTAACTCTGCGTAGCCCTGACACTGCTAGCTTTAAGTTCACTGAACAAATATTACTCCCAAAAGTCTCCCAAAATGAAAGAGTTCAAAATGATGATGCACCAGTAAACCAAACAAATGATTCAACATGTTTTTGCATTGCAATCGGACTTGTCTGGGATAATCGTACAGTCAGCTTTAAAGCCTCAGTTCCTGCAAAATGCCAATAATGGACCTCTGTATCTCTACTTATGTTCCTTTAATAATTAAGCCATGTTATAAATGTTAAGAGGAAGTTATGTTCAGCTTTTATTGGTCTTATTAGCATTATCACGGTCGGTTGCACACATTCACCCACTGGAAGTCACCCCTTTGTTTATTGTTTGCAATACCTGATGTTGGTAAGTTCATAAATTTCCCACCTCATATTGGCCACCTAAATGCACCATTAAGAAAGTGAAACTGCAACAGAGAAAGACAATCATGTTTTGTTTGTTATCAGTCAATAGATCTTTTAAAAGGATTTCTGGGTAATGAAGTTCAGCAGCCATAAACTTGTTCCATTCATCAGACAAAACAGCAAATCCCCCCCCCTTACACCCCCCTACACCCCCCTACAAAACTATGTGTTATTATTGCATAAGTTACACCATGTCCTAACAGTATGCGAGTGTTATATATCGCGTCACATCGCGCATGATCGCACGCTGGCTGTCCACCCTGCATCTATATAAATATATAGAACATATAAATAAATATATGTTAGATATCATATTAGTGGAATAATGAGATGAAAATAAACTTTAAATGGGCTGTTGTGAGTATGTATGTGCGCTTTAGTTACACAAATAATGCCTGACAGTGTTGAATCCATTTAGTCGTAAATATCGCTTCATTTACAGAACAAAACATCACAGGATATCAAAACTTAGAAATCACTTAGACCTTTAGAAAGACTCAAAATATCAATAATAATAGGAATTAAAACTTTCTTTAAAAAAAACTTTATTAACAACATGATACGAAGCTATGTGTCCCAGTGTTGCCCTTTACAAAACAGCGCTGGATTGAATATTAATTCATTAAAAAAATACAATATACTATTCTGTATACTGTCCCTCTATCTCAGAGAATCACAGTTATCTATGTCAGTGTTTAATCCCGCTTTCATTTCCATCAACATTTTAAAACTGTGTCCCCATGGGGAGCACTGCAGGCCTGGGGAACATACTGTTTAAATGTCAAGCTCAGTTTAATACGTTTAAAATCATAACTTCTTAGTGTTAGCTGTCTCAGAACAAGATGCATTCACACAAGGGACATTTAAAGTGCAAACCGCATCAAGGACACACACACAGACTTAATTTTATCATACTTCATCATTCATGAAGTGACCGTTTTGTTTCATGACCTTTTTGTAGTGTTCTCTTTTTTATTTTTAGCTTAAAGGAAATTTCCCCTTTCAGATACTGTAACACTAAATGTCACCGATATCAAAGATATCTTATATCTCCATCTCTCTCTCTTGTTTACTTCTTTGTTTAACCAACCCTTCATTGAACCCTTTTAAAGGAAAAAAAAATCATAATGGAAAACTTTCTTAAACTTTATGTTTTTGCTGGGAGTTTGGGCCGGCGCTTTTTGTGCTGGAAGTGCTCACAACCTCGCTTGTTGCTAGGTTCCTAAAATAACTTCTGGTTCCCTCGTTAATGTCCGATATGTGTGTTTTAGATTGCTCAGTGTGCTTACAATCTTTTCTTTAATTTAAGGAAATATCACAAAGAAAACATGAACACAATGCAAAGGAGTTGTGTCCTGGCTTCGTGCGACAGAGCGTGGCGTTGTTCCAAAGTTGAACTGCTAAGTTATTACTAATCAATTAAAGCTTTAGGGGTTTAAGTGGCTAGATTTTGTAACCTTTGGATAAAACGTGGCTAGCTGTTCCCCCTTTCCCTATTCTGTATGCTATAGGCTGAGTTTAGCTAATTTCCAACTACCCCAGGTTTCATATTTAGAAAGTGGTATTATTTTTCTCTTAATAGTTCCATCAAGAAAGCATGTTTATCATTGTGTTTTAGTGTGAATCTTCCTTTTACATTCAATAATATGTGGATATGCATTGTATCCTTATAGGAAACACAGTGCTTTAAGTTGCGGTTCCTTAAATGACCAAACGATGCAGAGCAGAGTTCCTTTCAAATGTCCAAACTTCTCTTAATTTGTTTCAAAACTATTGTCTTCATTTTTGGGAATATGATGGCAAGTTTTCGTTTTGGCAGTGCCACAGCCCATGAATTTGTCATAGCTAAAAATCAAACCACCCCTTATCTTCTTCTGTTCAACCAGTTTGGATTATTGACTTCAGTTGTGAGGTTATACGGCTAACCCAATCCTCAACCAGCAAACCAATGGTTGGGCGAGATTGGTTGCATTCACTCTTCATCTTTTTGGGGATTTCCAATTGGGACCTAGCAAAGTTCGTCCTCAGCATAAACGGATGCCAGACACAAGAGGGCCCCAATGTTTTGATGGCGGGCCCTTGATGAGCTCCAACATTGACCATTTTGCATGACTGAAGCAAGCTTGGGACATATCAATAACCAATTTTGAGGTGGAAATGATACGCCCTATTGAAGCCCTTGTATATTCTTCTGGGTTGCCCATTTTGGCTACAACACCAACCAACTTAAGAGCCCCATCTGAGCCCATGCTCAGTTGACTCTACATTCATGTTTGTCTTACTGTTCCTGGTTGAAACCCTGCAACCTTCACATGAAAAGAAACTGGAAGAAGTTCCAGATATAATTCATTCATGGTCCTTCATGTGGACTGTTCATTTGCTCTACGCGTTGAAGCGTCTGCTGGGCTTTCGTTTCTTTGATTGGCAACATTTAATCAGCAGTCCTAGCACGATTAGCAAAAATAACGCTGTCAAAACCACAACAACAACAAAGTTCTGGATCTTTGGTTTCTGACACATTTCCTCCGTCACCTTCCCGATGTTCACCGGCTCTGAATAATCCTCAAGAACGCATGTCACAGTCTCTAGGTCAGCAATAGTCAAAGCCGAGTTCTTGACCATTTGCAGGAAGGCGAGGTTGCTGCAGCAGCTTAGAGGGTTGGAGCCCATGTAGAGGGTTTTTAGAGAGTGCTCCAGAGCGAGCATGGTGCTGGGCTCAAGGGTGACCAGGTTGTTGTTCTGCAGGTTTAGAGACTCAATGGATGACTCTCTGTTCCACATAGGTAGAGTGGTCAACTGGTTGGTGGACAGGTCTATGTGTTTGAGACTCTTAAGTGATGACAGGTCTGTGTTTAGACAGGAAATGTTGTTTTCCCTCAGGAGTAGGTGAACCAGGGAGCGCTCCAAACCTGAAAAGGAGTCTCTGTCCATGTCTAGGCCTGGGTTCAGTGACAAGTCCAGTAACTTCAGAGGGGTGTTGGCAAAAGCGTTCGAGGGAAGAGTTTGAAGATTGTTTTCAGAGATGTACAGGAACTGCAAGTTTGGTATGGAAGAAAAGGAGACACATGCTGGAGGATTTTTGCAGTTCTGGTCTGCGTCACAGATTTCCAGATCGTTCTCCTGGAGGTACAGGTGTTTGATACTTGGAAGTTTTTGAAATATTTGATGGTCTAAATTGGTGAGGTCGTTTCCTTGCAAGAGGAGCTCTTCCAGCGACGGCAGAGTGTTCTCACCAAATGTCAGACTCTGCAGCGAATTATAGCTGAGGTTAATGACCTTCACCGTCTGCAGGAGACCTTCATTTGTGATTGAAAACGAGCTAATACAATTATTGCTCACATTCAGGACCTCCAGCGAGGCCATACAGTAAAAAAAGGACTCATGTATGATTTGTAGTTGGTTGTAACTCATGTCCAAGTATCTCAGATGAAAGAGATGAACAGTTGTCCTTCTGTCATGACTTGCCGTGACATTGATGCTCTGAAGTTGGTTTCTCGACACATCCAGGTATTGGAGCACATTGTTTCTGGGCAGAAGAGGGAAATAATGCATTTTGTTTTCACTTAGATCAAGAATTTGAAGGTCATACGAGTCTGTTGATCTTGTGCTTTGGAAAAACTCCATGCTGTTCTTGCTGAGATTAAGAACTTTTAAATGGCACAAATTAAAGTCTGTGATACACGTGATCGAGTTCTTGGACAAGTCGAGCTCAGTCAGATGATTCAAGGAGTCAAATGCTCCGTCTTCAATCTCTAAGATGACGTTATTGTGGAGGTTGATTCTTTTAAGGGACGATGACCCACTGAAAGTATTTTGTGCTATTTTGGTGATGCTGTTGCTGTTTAGAGAAAGGTTTGCCAGCGACGGGGAATCAGCAAGGAAATAGTCGGACATTCCTGTATACAGCCCGTTGCTTGAAAGATCAAGTGACTCAACAGCTGTAAGAGGCCCAATGTTGATTTTGGAGTGAGTAAAAACATTCAGATGATTCCTGGACAGATCTAAGACTTTGAGATCAGTCATGTCTCTGAAGAGCCCGGGCTGGATGAAGTGGATCTTGTTCGAATGAAGATTCAGGTGGTTGAAGCTGGTGTGGTACGCCAGAGTTTCCATGGTGAGGTTTTGCACCTGGTTAAGGGAAAGATCCAGCATTTGGACGCCATGAGGAAGGTTGACTGGGGCACTTCTGAGGTTCAGATTGCTGCAAAAGACGTCCATCTGGACCTACAAACAAAGACAAACACACAATTCTGATTATGTCTGCGTACTGCCAGATTTCCTGACCATGACACAATACAGAGCAAATGTTTAGCATACGTGGACGACTGGTGTATGAGTCAGTGATTCTACAGTATAATCTTGGCAGCAGAACCATCATCTGGGGTTAATGATGGTGGATAACAAAGGCCATTTTCTATGAATAAATCAAAAAGTCAAATTTTATTGAAGGGCCTAAGATTTAGCTTTCATGCTACATTTCTTAAACCAAGATAACCATGTGTAAAAGAGAGATTTTTCTGTTTTAAAACAACACACCTCACATTTTTACCACCCAAACCCACAATTCTCATCATCTGCGCCCCTTTTCCCCTCAATAGATTCAATAGTTAAGGTTATTACGTGACGTTTATAATCAAAACCATATGGCCAGGGACCACCTTGTCCAAAAACAGCTCATAAAACTGTCTCCTCCTCTGTTTTCTCTCTGAGCACATTGAGCTTCTTGGCATATTTGTGGCGGCCTGAGAGAGGCATTCCTTGCTGCTTACAAGTAAACAAACACATTGATTTATTCAAGAACTACTAGAGGGCAAAACATCTTGTATCTATTATGGGGCACTGAGGAACTAATCAGGCATTTTCTTTTAGAACGTATCATCATAACGTTCTAACCCTGTTTCCCTGAGACTCCAGCATGCAGCAGAAGTGTTATCAGAGATATAAACACAGTCTGTGTGGAGGGTAACTGCTTACATTCCTAAAGACTGTGAACTTAAACCTGATTTTACAGCATCTGACATACAAGTATGTGTGCATTGGTTTTCATCAGATTAAGCCGTCATAATCATGGAGCATATGATTTAAAGTCCAGTAGACGGGAACCAAGGCAATAAGGCATCTTTATAAAATACTGACATACCAGCATTGTATGTATTGAAACAGTTCATTATGATTAACTGTAACATCTACATTTTGGATTTAAAGTGACCTTGTCCTTGCATGAGTCCAGTTTGAGCGTTGGCAGGACAAAATCCTATGTTGTTGTTTAAAGTAGTTATTCTCCAGATCTACAGACTCATCACCCCATAGTTTAATGAGCACCAGTTGAGGAAAGTAACAACAAGGGTGTATTTTATTACAAAGCTCCTGTGAAGAACTTTCAGATTGTGCCGATCTTGGCGCCCCCTGTAGACAAAGTGGTACCTCTTAGTCTTTTCACTCTGCTGATTTTGTCCTGTACATGTGTACTAAGTATTGTTTTCGAACAAATAATCTAATCCTGCTTTATGTCAACTCAAATGTATCACTCATTGTAAATCTTTTCCATGGAAAATAGCAGGATGTTAATAAGTTTATGTCACGTCTCTCCAGAAGCAGCGGTTTCTGGCATTAGAAATAATAATACAGAAAGAGTCAGCCTTTTTGCAGATGGTCTTTTTTTTTGCTCTTGAATGTAATAAAGATCCATCAGTAATCACTTCTGTTACACAACGGCATGAAAACTCCTAACAAGAGCTTATAAAAGAAATGTTAGATTCATTTAAATGGGTCCATCCCTTACTGTGACTGCTGTCTATATGAGTAACTCTTGTGTCCTGTGACAACATACAAGTTAAAGAGTAAACACTTCTCGGAGAGTTCAGGACTCTACAAGGATGCATGTCGCAGTGAAGTCCATAAATTGAATGCAACTATATTTTAAAGACCATCGAACTGCGACAATGCAAAGAGGAGTTAAATGTTTTAATGGACACAGACAGAGATGATCTCCTGTCCTCTTCTAGAGGAGCACATGAGGTTTATAAACAAAGAAAGACCGGGCAGTGGAGCTGCTACATGGAGGCAAATTTTACAAGGATTCAGGTGAATTTTTCTGCTTTGTCTATTTGATGCAGAAGAAAAAGCTGCAAATAAACTGTGGTGTTAAAAATCTGAGCATGCATGTATTCGGCTTGTATTCAAGGTCCAGCATATTTATATGGTACACATGCTAGTTTTATGGTTTCCCGTGCCAGACATGACACAATATACAAATAAAATCCAGTAGATCTTTGTCTGATAAAGGAATGATTTATAGTCTTTTATGGTTCTATTTGACAGCAGAATAACAGAGATGATAATGCAGTATGGCTCAATAGTCTGGGAATAGTTTCGTAACATCTTCGTATCATCTTGTTCTAGTTTTCCTATGTATCTGCTGGGAAAATAAAAAGTAACTATTCCAGTTTCTGACATCATAAAAGGAAAAACTCTGGCAGACTTCATTTCTCAATAAGCCAACACTAAGACGTGATTCACCAGAAACTTCAAGGAAAGATGTCACAGTTATATACTGTACATACTAGACTCACACTTACCGATTTTTCTTCAAAAGAAGCCAACAAAAATGTTTCATTGTTTAAATTTGAAAAGCTTACAGGTCCGACTGCAGCTTAAGATAATAAACCAGATCTGCCCAGGTCAGAGGCTTTCAAATAAACGATCTGCCTGGAGTTAATCTGAAAATACCTCAAACATCTGATGGATTAGGGGCCTCATTTTATTTGCAGCGGGCAACCAATGAAAATAAACTAAAGACAGATGAAAAAACATCCAGGTTTTTTTTTCTGAAAATTTGAGGAATGTGTCTAAAAGATGCTGTAAAATGAGAAATATCTTATTGTAATGTAAAACACCTGCAGGCGTTTGTTTAGAGGCTTTACTTACCACTTGGCATGCAGAGAGGTGGCGGGGAGGGCGTGCGGATGCTGCCACGCAGCTGACCAACAGCGGGAAGAGCAGCTGGATGGCAGTCATGGTGCTGCAGCGGAGAGAGAGAGATCAGACGCGTTAGAGAGCCATGGATTCAGGAAGCAGGCTGTAGGTGATATGACTTGAAAAGGGAAGGAAGAGGGAAGTAGGCCAACCTAATGTGTGACACGCTGAACTATGACAGAGATATTTACGCCCTGAGATACAGAAGGGGCTTTTTGTTCTCTGTAGGCTGTGACATTTCTCTTCTATACTGTATTACAGACTGTTTTCAGCTGCAGAACTGGTACTACTGAGGAACAATGACTAAGCACAGAGGGTTTACCTGATTCTGTGGAAATCTAAGGGATCCTCCTCTGTAGGTTATTGTTTTAAAACATAAAAACAGACACAATTGTTTTGTTTTCGCCCTGTAGTGAGTCACTTTTTTAAGAGTTCTTTGCCCCCTTATATCACATGAACTTGCTAAAAATGTTTCCTGATTGGCTCCCCTGAGAAAAACAAAACAACATCTAACCCTCAGAGTAGACAATGTGGGAGTAATTAGCGCCGCGGTAATGGTAAGTACCCAAAAGGTTAGCAAAGAGGGGGAAATTCAGGTGAAATTTAAAGAGGTGCTTTAGACGTCTGCTGGGTTTTGAATTAGAAATAAGTAAGCGCTAACTTTTAATTTAAGTGTTAAAGTAAGGCAACAGATTGATTTAGATCATGAGAAATCCCTTCTTCACAGCTAATGTGAGACCTTCAGGGGCAAATTAAATTCATCATGGGTGCTCTCGTGATGTTTGTGAGTACATGTTGTCCCAGCAGAAGAAAAGCATGTGTAGCTGCTTAAAATACAGACACATCTTTCATCAACATCGGGGTTACTTGGAAAACAATGAATGAAAAAATGGAACAGTAAATGATGACCTGCTGAGGTCGAAGCTAACTGGTACAATGCATCAAATCAGATGTCTGTTCAGAAGTTAGCAGTTTAGTTTGAGATATGTTCTGAAAGTGTCTTTTTTTAAATGCTGTGTAAAGTCCAAAACTTAAAATTCTCCACATATTGGCTGCACAACACTTTAAAAGTAATGCACAAAAAAATCATCTCAGACTCATCTCATGTTCAAGATCAATAAAAGATCAGTATTATTTAATGACTTACAACTTATTTTTAGAATATGAAATTAAAAATACTTGAACACAACAAATTGAACTTTGAATGTAAGGAATCCCCATATTTTTATGGCAACAGCAATCTTAAGACTGAGGGGCGTCGGTGGCCTAGTGGTTGGATTGCGCGGGCCATGTAAAGAGGTTACTGTCCTTGAAGCGGGCAGCCCAGGTTTCAAAACGACCTGTGGCTCCTTTCCCGCATGTCATCTCTCTCTCTTTCTCTATCCACTGTCTCATCTATAATTTAAAAGAACAATCTTAAGACTGATTATTAATAATAGTTATTTCATTTATTGATTTGTACAGAGACATTTACACTTGTCATGTTTATTTAATGCGTTTTTCATGTTTTTGACTTTCATTATTTCAGTAAAGAAATATTAAATACTTATCACAAGTGAAATAAATATGAACACAAGCCGTCATTAGCATCACATGTTCATGAAATGTAACCCCTGCAGACTAAAGCATTTAAAGACTATCGTTCTTTGTCTTTGAATTAGCTAACTTAAACATCTAACAATCTTTAGATACATTTTAAAGATTATATTTGACAAGTCAAATGTCTTAAACATGATAAAAGAAATCGTGTTTGTGTTCTTTTAACGATTCCTCTGAGAAATTCACACTTTTCATGCCATTAAATGCAGATTTTTTGTTTTTTTTATACATATATCAGCCAATAAGTATTACCATACTGAATTTAAGTATCACCAACACAAGCGTTTATCTAAAGTACTTCTGACATCACATGTAAAGGACTTTTGTTCCTCGACTTTGAATGCAGAGAAAAAAAACACATTAAAATTTTAGTGGTCAGACAGAAAGTAAGTTAAGTTTGAAGAAAGTAAGTTAAATATTTAACATGATGCCAAATCTTGTTGACACATTGATACCAATGACACACAAAGTTTAACACCTTTCCTGCTGCCTCCTACTTTTATATAAGTTTTTGCTTTATAATATTTCAGCTGAGAAGTATTAACCCTTCACAAAAACAAAAACCCTATGAACAAAAGCTTTTAACTGAAATATGTATTTATATTATTAAATGTCAAATATTTTCTGCAAACTAAAAGCGCCTTCATGACTTTTAAAATTGTCCCTTTACTATTTTATTTCCATCATTGTATTGATACTTTGACTCAAATTAAATACCTGAATACTTCTTCCACTGCTGCAGAATCTAACCATGCACACACACTCCAACAAGCTGCTCACACAGTCCACTCTGAGTCTCCCAAAAATCCCCAAACAACATGCTTCTGAACTCGTACCTCACTTTCAGCTGATGACCGATCTTCACAGAACCTCCTGACCTCGTGGATTTCACATCCTCAGCGCGCTCTCCCTCCCACTCACAGATCGATAGAAACCGAGCAAACACACCTAAAGCCGAGCACTCCTCTCTCAGCTGACTCTTCCCTGCACATCGCTCGGCTCCGGCTGCTGTCCAGCCATCACATCCTGTGAGAATATCCTGCATCCCCCCTCCCACTGTGCTCGGGGAAATGCCTTATAAGGGGGTGGGGATGTTCAGATTTATGCTCCACTTGGAGGAGACACAACCCCCACTACTCTCCCACCGACTTCATCCCCTCCAAAATACCCTCTATTAATCCTGAACTTGAAAGATTTCTCAAGGAATAGTTTGGATGTTCTCACGTACCGAACCCCCTTTGGAATTCGGGGTATTTCAAGATTTTTGGACCTCAAGGCCAGAAGTTCAAAGCATAAATATATATTTCTATCTTTGCAACCTTTTATGGATAAATTAAAGAGAAGAATGAACGAGTTGATGCTTCATATTCAGGAGAAAAACGTAATCAGAAGCTATTCTTAGTATTATACCCTGGTGAACACATGTGGGCGTGTTGAAAAAGCACACATCCTTTTTCTGATTTGTCCTGTGGCTTCTCTCTGGTTCACCATACTGTACACAAACAAAACTGTAACCATAATAACCTTCAAACTGATAAACAGCTGTGTGAATGTCTGTGAATCAGAAAGAAAAATCTTCATGTTCCTCCCAGCAGGCAGCCCAGGTTCAAGTCTGACCTGAGGCTCCTATCCCGCTTGTTATTGCCCACTCTCTCTCTCTCTCTCTCTCTCTCTCTCTCTCTCTCTCTCTCTCTCTCTCCTCTCTCCTGCTCTATCCACTGTCCTATCAATTAAAGAAAAACCAACCTGTAACCGATTGTGTTCTTTAGCGTCAGACATCGACAGAGAACATACTGAAAATACAGAAAATACTGAATGTTATATTTAATTTTGGTGTCGTATCATGAGCTACATTTTTAGTGGATTTGATTTAAAGGATTCTGTTCGACAAACTGAACTGAGTTTTTGTGTGAAATCATGAAATCTTCTTTTGGGATGATTTTATTCTGAGAGTTGAATTTCTCACATTTCAGTCTTGCTTTGTATCATCAAAAACACATCTTTAAGTAGTTCATTTATCTCAAGAGTTTTCTCTGAGTTCATTTTTTATCACACTTTTTTACTTCAGTTTATCTGCTGAATTAAAACGACTGAATGTGGAGAGTCCTGTCGTGAAAGGATGTCGACTTCACGTTTAACTGTTTAGTTTTTAGTTCTGCTTCAATGTTTGACTTTTCTGAACACAGGCCTAAAAAAAATGAAGTTCTCAAAAACATCTGTGTCCACAAGAAAACACAAAACGCACTGTTACTGCTGTCATGAGCACGCCAAGTCAACGATGTCCTTACGATGGGAAGATTTTCTCACCATTCCCCTGCAATGACCATTTCATTTTACAAAGTTGTCCATTCAGGTGACTCTGCTCGTCAACATAGCAGCAGAGTAACTGTGTGTGTATGTGTGAGCATGTTTAAAGTCCAGTTAGAAACATTAACACCAGCACTAGTTTGGTCACGTCATCCATCACACTAATCTCATGGAAACAAAAGTGACAGCATCACACAATGACACCAAACGTGAGTGTGTACCAACGCACAGAAAAAAACATTTTCTAAACTACCCCCCCTTGTGGACTAGGCCTGACATGAATCAAATCCTCTTCTTAAAGGTCTGTACACTCACACAGGTGTTAGTGCAAGAGGCACAAATGTCTCCTTTTCTCTGAGATTACCTGTTCACAAAAAAATTGAGATGTTTGGTTGAACTGACTGTCAAGGCAGACGACAACAACACAAAACCTCAGAAATATTTTTTGTAACTACTGATTGATGAACACTTTGAATAAAGAATACTTGCCTCTGCACGTTCATGGACGTCTAAGTGTAGACTAACAATTCTTCAAGTCACAATTGGACTTTTGTTAGGTCTTTAAATCATTTAATTTCTAATAATCCTTTTCTTGTTATCTAAATTAGTGCATTTTTCAGTCTTGATAATAACAATAGAGCATTGCTGCAAAATAAATAAAAAGTAAATTTCTCTCAAAAATTAGGAAAAAGAACCTTGAAATTACTTCAATATTACGCTTTATTAGATGCACCCTTCTACCCAGAAGTATATTTATTTAAGTTACTTAAAGCGTATGTATTAAATTGGGTTTTCTTAATTTAATATCACTGGTAAAAATGTGTAATAGAAAAAGTAGTCTTACCTGGATCTCTTCTGCTGCAGTGTTTCCTTCATTGACTGCAGGGTCAGTTTCACATTCATCCTCTCGTCCTTTCGTTATGTTCATCAGTGGTGTCATGTGTTCAAACACACACACATACACACACACACAAACACACGTGTACACAACAACACACACGCACAGCTTCATGTTACAATTAAAGCACACCACATGATGCTCACAGCTTCCCCGGGGGTTGTCCCCTCTTTTGTTTACCGGGATTCCCAGACTTTTTGTTTCCTTTTCCATGCAGCTCAGCATCACTGAAGGGTTTGTGTGTGTGTGTGTGTGCATGTGTGCATGTATTTGTGGTGTTTGTGTGTGTGTGTGTGTGTGTGTGTGTGTGTGCATGTATTTGTGGTGTGTGTGTGCATGTATTTGTGGTGTGTGTGTGTGTGCATGTATTTGTGTGTGTGTGTGTGCATGTATTTGTGGTGTGTGTGTGTGCATGTATTTGCTTCTTTGAGGGAGACAGTGAGATCAGCTGGATGTGATGCTGTAGATCAACTCTGCCCCCTGCTGCTCACACTCTCACACTGCAGCATGTATTGTTTTTTAAACAGATGTCATTTGAGTCACTTTTAGAGGTACAGAACGTTGTGTATTTACCCGAGTATGGGGCTTGAATATGATTTAGGATTATTTAACTTTACTTAACTCGTCTTGTTATTCCATTTTATACTTTTACTTCTTTACATTTTCCTGACAGCTGAAGTTGCTTCACAAATTGAAATGTTTGCAAAGAAAACTTGAGCAGAAAATGAGCAGAAATACATCAATAAGCCTATCGATAGAGAATGTGTTGCTTTTAATGTTCAGATTTGCTGCTTTTCCTACTTTTTGATTTTTGTGAAATGAGTTTTGGACTTCTTTGTGAAGGTTACTTAACATTTATTCTATTAGTGGAGGATATAATTGCGTCAAGCCATTTAAGCTCAGTGCTCTAAGGGCGTGTACGATATCAGGAACTCAGTCCTCTTCACAGCAGACCCAGGTTCCACTCCAGCCCTCAGCCCCTTGGTGTGTCTTCCCCCCTCTCCTTCCTCACATTTCAGACTAAACACTGTCCTTCATGTTTTTCATTGAGTGGTTTATATGGAAGCCCTAAGCAGACATGCATCCATGCATTTTATTTACTGCGTCTTCCTGCGATATGGATCTTGTTTTCTCGTAACCCCAAAGATACAGGAGCTCCAATCAAACATAGGAGGCTTAACTTCCCTCTCTAGTAGTAATGAGACAGTATGTTGTGTTGCTAGCCCATCGCAGTGACCAGTTATATGTTTCAATTTGTCAATTACCAGAATATTATCCCGTTAGCTCAAGAAACCAGCTTTGTTATCTGGAGACAACAAGGAAAATAGGTCGAGAAAACAGCTGAAATCACTCGTATCACAGTAAATCAAATGTATGGATGCATGTCCGCTTGGGGCTCCCATAGCTTTATTTAAGGTTATCTGTGCTAGGATGTCTGACAGTAAAACTCTGGGAACAACGGCTGTAAAACATGAAAGGCAGCAAACAGGAAGTGACAGCTTCTGACACATATGTGATGTCAAATAAAATAACTTTTATTTGTGGCTTGTTGAGAATAGTTTAAGTCTGACCTGCAGCACTTATATCCGATCACAGAGGACACTTTTTGATACCAGATCTAACAGGGTCTTTAGACTTTATAGTCCCCGAGGGGAAATTCTTTTTCACAGCACCGTTACTGTCCAAACAGACGAGTCCCACCAAAGAACATTTATCCACAAAAAACAGAGACTAACACAAACAAACAGAGTTAGACAACAGTCAAGAGTTCCCATTTCTGGCCTGTTCAGCGAGGCCTTTTGTTCAGGACCGTTATTACAGCGGGGATCAGGCTCCTCCCGAGGCGAGCCTTTCTGCACCTTAGTGCTCTGTACCTCCGTCCTGAGGGAAGTGGGGCGAGGTGAGTGTTCAGTGGGTGTGTGAGGTTGCAATGCATGGGATGGCCCTGTTGTTGAGTTGAGGTTGGGTGTGGGGAGACCGATTATTCTAGCAGCTGTGGTTGTGATGCGTGTGAGTTTGGCCTTGTTTTTTACAGATAACATGTTGAAGAAGCGGGTGGAGCAGTACAGTAAGATGGGCTGGATCATGCTCTGATGGAGCAGCAGGAGGAGATGGGGGGCAACATAGAGTCCTTTGAGTTTGCGTATGGCTGACAGTCTTTGATGGCTCTTTTTCTGGATGTCACTGGTGTGCTGTTCAAAACTGAGTAGGTTGTCTAATGTTACTCCGAGATATTTAAAACTGTTCACTATTTCCACTGCTTGAGTGTTGATGAGAAGAGGGTGCTGAGATGAGGGGGGACTAATTATTAATTCTTTTGTCTTAGGGACATTGAGATGGAGATGGTTATTGTCACACCACTGAGTGAAGTTTGTGATAGAGTTGTGGTAGTCCTGGACAGAGTTGTTGTCGGTGTGCATGGCAATGATGGCTGTGTCGTCTGAGTATTTGAGGTATGTGGTGGTGGGTGACGGGCTGGTGCAGTCGTTGGTGTAGTGTGTACAGGAATGGGCTTAGTACACATCCTTGTGGTGCTCCGGTGTTGGTGGGTAGTGCAGGTGATGAGGTTGTGCCCACTCGCACAGCTTGCAGCCTGTCACTGAGGAAGTTGTGAATGAGGTGGATCAGGCGAGAGGGGGTGTTGAGCTGGTGTAGTTTCTTGATCATCAGATGCCTTTGAATGGTGTTGAAAGCACTGCTGAAGTCCACGAAGAGGACTCTGATGAAGTGACCTGGGGAGTCTAGGTGCTGAAGGAGGAGGTGCAGCAGGCAGGCCACAGCGTCCTCTGTTCCCCTCTTTGCCTTGTATGCAAACTGGAGGGTCTGTTTTTGTGATGATGGCGGATTTTTAAACTGCGATATGATTCTGGTAAAAATCTGCGTGTCAATGTTGGTAAAAATTAAATATGTCAACCTAATATATTTAAAAATAGAATACAAACAAGTAGTGTCTTTGTTTTACCCTGAACAAAGACTTATTAGTAGAAAAAAGACATCCCAGAGAAACACTTCACAGTCATAAAGTTCTCAGTTTGGTGAGAATAATGACAACAAACACACACATGTAGTTGGCCAGGAATAAGTTTTATATAAAATTTGAACCGTGGATACAGAGGCGATATTATGTGTATAAAAAAATACATACAATAAAAGGAAAATAAATGAATCTTATCTTTTCTATTTGGAGCAGATGTTCAAGTTAGCTGATGAAATGTAAAAGGCACTAAATGTACAACATTCCAGTTTTAGAGACATGAAACAGAGGCCAAGGTCATTCTGAGATGAACCCAAATAAAAACAAAAAATCACAGGGAATTTGTTGTCTTTGATATGCAAGACATAGTGCAGATTTTACAACATAACATACCAAACAATTCTCATAAACACACGACTATTTACCATCGAAAAACACTAAGCACGCACTTTAAGACTCGCCGTGAGCCGAGTGAACGTTCACTCGACACTTTTAAGACATCGAACGCTGCGTGTGAGCTCGCTCAAACTGTAAATCTTTCATAATTTATAGTTTACATCACAATTTCTACAACAGCACTAAACACTGCGACAAGTCACGATCAGAGCAAAGCGACCAGCAGTAAGGTTTTGGCAGTATCATACAGGTTTGATTTGGTGACTATGTGGAGGTACATGCAAACTAAGAGAACAAACAACAGAGGAGAAGAGAAAAGATGAAATATGTCGAGTACAGCGCCTGCGTTGTGTTGTCACAGCCAGAGGTCTCTGATGATGGCCTGAATATCACATACGAGGAGTTTATAGACACATGAGGAATGATTGGAGGAGGGCTGGGCGTAATATTCAGTTTTTAATGTCGATATATTTTCAAACGAGGTGTAGTGTAAGACGATATTGTTTAAATGTCTGTTTTGTTTTAACCACTCGTTGTGTTTTCTGGTGTGTAACAAGCTTCAGAGCCTTTGTGGGGACAGACTAGGGCCGTACTTTTCAAAATAAAACCACTTTGAACGATTTTAAGTATATGACACAGTAATGTTCAAACATATTCGCCCTCTGCTGGATCAGACTGCAAACTACTTCAGATGGTCTACTTGGGCTGTCAAGTCTTATTCTAAATTCAGACTTTAATGATCCTAATGGATGTGTTGTACAAATGTTACAAAGTTTAAAGTGACACAGCTGGTACTAGTTCCCTCTAGCAGAAGTTTAAACAAAAAATAACTTGGAACATAACGTAATATCCTTCACCTTGGGAGTGTTTAAAGTGGCTGTCTTGGCTATTTGTTTTGAAAACAAATGACAGTGAAAACAGATGGTTAACTCTCGCCTCTTTGAAAATGTTTTTTACAGCATAAAGAGAACATTGTTGTTTTAACCTAGACGAGCTCGGGAACATTGTGGAGCATTTAGCAGATAAATGGCCAAACACAACTTTGAGGACAGGCCAGGATCACGACCTTTAAGATGTCTGAATGTGCAGCATTTTCTCTGCATGTGTTTGACTTTGCATCGCTTCATGTTTTGTTTACATTTGTTTTTTTATTTGCATCGTCGTCAGACTTTGCAGCCGCTCTCTTACCCATCTCCTGCAGTGCGATTGCACTTGTTGGACTGGGGAGTGAACTAAAATGTATCAGGTAAATATAAGCATGATTCCAAACACATTTAAAGATTTGATTATCTCTTATTCACCATTTAAACTTAAAATGTCAAAGTCATGTACACAGCTTGGTCACCGTAGTCAAATTTATTTTGTGTATTTGAGAATAAATGGCCAACGAAGCTGATTCTGGTCTGCTGCCCCCAAGTGGATAAATAAATTATTTATGCAAGTTTCACATCATGGTCATGGTAGCTGTAGCCACTTAAGTAATGAATCTTCAGAATAAATTTGATTTTGCGTACATAATTAACCAAAACAAAGTTGAATTTAAGCCATCTGAGAGGACCGGCTCAACACCACCTGCAGGCGCTGCACACCGTACGCTTAAGCGTGACGCGAGAAATAATTCAGACTGAAAAAAGAGAAAAACATAAAGAAAAAACACCAACTCTCTCTCTCTAGACCTCTACAGCAAACTTCTCTCCTTCTGGGGAAAGACAACCACATCCGCACCACACTGGAATGAGTTACAGTAAACAGCACTATATCTTACACGAGCAGGAAATATATACAAATACTGGTCAACGTGGAGATTTACTGCATTGTGAATCACGGGCTGAAGCTGAACTTTTTTTAAGACATTTTTTTTTCAACACAGACATCATTCTCATAGGTTAGCGAGCCATCGACAAACAGAACCGTAACATACATTTGACTTTTAAATGCTTGGAGACAACAGAAATGACGGATTTGGAATGCATTTTAAAGCTTCTGAAAAGAACTCAAATATATTTGGCCCATTAGTTTAAGAAAAAAAAAAAGAGTTTTACATGATACATAGATGGAAGAAAGGATGGATATGTTTGTAATAATGATTGTTATGTTAGTAAATTCCATGCAAACAGTGTATTTAGCATTTGTTCCATCCAACAACAAATGTCAGCTCCCAGTTTTCGTAGATGATTTCACCTCAGTTGCACATTTTGTTTGCTCATGCATATTTCAGAAGAACTCAAAACTTAAACAACTGCCCGGGTAGTACCCACAAGCAGGATGTGTGTTTTATTTTTACACCTCACAAACAGGCAGGTTAACGTCTTGCACTTTGCAGAACAGAAAGATGCACAGAGGCTGCATTGCTCTTTTTGTGTTTATGCACTTCTTTTTAAAATGAAAATGGCAATTCAGAGTAAAGAAAGTTTAAAGATGGCGTTCCACTGAGGTGAAAATCAAACGGGAGTTGGTTTTTCTTTATAAAAAGGTACCACGACAACATGCCAGGAGTCTACAGAAAACTGAAGCATTCACAGTAAATACGATGTCAGTCTAGTTGAGGAGTACCAACTGTAGTTTGTAGATGTCATCATAGCTGCATGCAAAGTTACTGAAGGCGATGTAAAATCTAACTACACGCCCCGACAAAACAAGATCACTGTGGAAGCGCCCGACAGCGAGATGAACCGAGGCTCCAGCAGGCTGCTGCACCGGTGAGGTGTAAATTCAAGCATAGCTTAGAAGGAATGTCGTTTAAGATGTGAAATTTATTACAACAAAGAGTTAGGATAAGTTAAACTTAAACGTTCACTCTGTTCAGGTTAATTAAACACAGAACAGACGCTGCTTTGTTAAATGTTTGAAACTCAGGATTCAGAGAGAAACTTAAATGAAAGAATCACAGACATTCAGGTTATTGACCCGTCTGTCAATCAGCCATAAGCACTTTTCAGACCGATGTTTCAAGCCGTGATGTTTATGTGTAATGGGGGGGGGCAAAGTAATCCCCCCCTCTGTAGTGTCTTTGGTGGTAGTAACAGAGGCGAGACTGTTTAAGCTGAACCAGCAGGGGAGCGCAGCGCTGTGTGCGTGCTTCCACAAAGCTGAAACTCAATGTTAGCTGGTTTGCATGCTGGCGATAAAATATCTCATTCGGTCCATAGACTGAGTAGAAGAAGTGAACGTAGCCATCGTGACATCACTGTTGGTTAGAGGACTAACGATAAGTTCATTATTTTTAAAGTCGTCCGTTTTGGTTTGTGAAGCAATACGTTATTAAATCTGGATAAGGGGTTAGCAGACGCTCATTCATAAAGCTAATGCTAGCTCTAGCTTTGTTAGCACCAATTATCCATACTTCAGTAACTTTGACATCGATTAGGATGCACAAAAAACAAGCATCAAACACAAAAGTCAACAACTCTGAGTGACTTTAAGACCACAGGAGCAGTGACTTGTACATCAAAAGGTAGCCAAACCCTAAAGAACATTTAACTGGATCGTTTATTTTTCTCTAAACGGAGAATAACCGACGAAATGACAGACGACTTGAAAGTGTGATTAAAAAAATAGACTTATCAGGAAAATGATTCGAGTAAAAAATCAAACAAGACAAAGTCATTTTCTTGTCGACATCTAATATGACTTATTTTGCAACCAGTGGAGTCGCCCCCTGCTGCCTGATTGAGAAAACGCAGGTTTAAGGCACGTCTTTTATTGGCTTTTTTTTCTGTGATGGCTGTATTTCAACTTGTCAGACCCAGAGACTACGTCCACTTCTTATACTCAGTTTAGTTTCCCATCGCTATTTAGAGACGTCTTAAGTAGTGTTGAAACAAAGTTTAGTGTCCTACAAAGTTAAACATGAAGCAGAAAATAGTTGAATCATTTAGAGCCGGTGCAACAGCCGTGTGAAGTTCTTTCAGGCACAAAATAAAAAAAGTTTAAAGAAGTATTTTAACATGTGGAATGATTTCTATGAAGGCATTTTTTTTATTTGCTTGTCAGAGAAAGATTTCAAGGCTGATGTGATGGAGTACTGTACAGTCCACTGGAGTGTTTCTTTGCTCTTTTTTTTAGTCGTAACAATAAAGCACATGGAGACGTCACTTTTTTTTTTCATATAACAGTAACATGCTTTCAGAGGACAAAAGAATTTCAAAATAAGATGGAGACTGCACCGATTTTCTGTCCCTGTTGAGATATGCCCACCCCTTCCCAAGAGCAGCTGATAGAGAGGTCTGATACTTTACTGTGGTTTTGTATATTTTTCTTTTTGGTCCCCGGTCCCTCTTCAGTTTTTACGGATGTCAGCGTAGACCACAGGCTCCATCTTATGGAACGAGTTTTTGCTGCCTGAGTGATCCAACTGGGCGTATATCACCGGGCCCTGAAATGTAAACCAGAAAAGGCAGAAAATGAGTCAGAACAAGACAAAAGAAGAGTATCCAGATTAAATGAACAAAAGAAGCAAAAAAGAACTTTGTCTTCTGCAGTAATTTTCAACATATTTTTTATTTCAAATCATAATCTTTGCTTGAGTGTTGAACAATCATCGAGAGCATAAAAAGAGTTTTTTTCATTTGAATCCCTGAATGATAGATTTTCTTGATTTTAAATTAAATTGCTTTCATCAAAAGGTTAACTCCGGTTGGCAAATGAACGGCACAATTGACAAGGCCAAACTCGCTTTCAAAGTCGTCGAGCAATAAAAGTTTTTCTCATCTGTTCTTCTTAATATCTCGTTAACAAAGCTGAACATGTCCACGTCAGAACTCAGTTTGTTTAGAGTTAGTGATGAGGACTAGATTAATAAATTAGTAAATCTTTAGAAAATGATTTGCACTTTTGTGATGAAAAGCTTCACTAGTTTCACTAAAATCACACTTTCTTTCTTTTTTACCTTTCATTCAAACTGAATTTTATTTTCAATGCAAAAAAACCAAACTGATGCTGTAATGACTTTATTGCCTCCGAGTTTTAATTTTTACATATTAGACATGAGAAGAAACTTTACAATTTATAATGCTAAGCTAAGCTAATCAGCTGCTGTCGAAGGCCTCACATATTGAATATGAACGTGATACTTTAACATCTAACTCTGCTGCAATAGAGCCAATCAAATAAGCACGTTGAAGCCTGGAACTCTCATTCGATAGCGAGTTTTGGTTGGTTTACTTTATGTCGTTTTGATGACTCATTGCATTCAGGGTTTCATTCCTGATAAATATTTCTCCACATGATCCTACGTGTGTATGTGCTGCTGCTGATCTCGGCCAGGTCACTCTTTATAAAGAGATTTTTTATCTGAACCGGTTTCTCTCCTGGTTAAATCAAAAAGAAATATCATCGTGATCATTTATTTTGGCATTTCACATGGAGTGTAAATAAACTGTCCCAGTGTTGTTGTTGGACTTGTGTGGACGTGAGTTGATGTGCTTTCCTTCCAGACCAGTTTTTAAAAAAACAAATATAATGTCACACTGTCCCTGAGAAAAGGTAGCAGCCGATGGATTCTTTCTGTCCCCCAGCTCCTACCTGTAGTGGACCCGAGGGACTGGTACACCTGGAGCCCTCCAGGCTGGACTCCACCTTCTTTCGTTGCTGCGGAGCCTGAGAGCTCACGCTTTCCAAGGACGTGCATCTATTTTAGGGTTACCATTTTGCCACGGTGGGGAGCAACCATTGGTGCACAGTCAAATGGAGACAGACAACGAATAATGGACAAGACAAAAAAATTAAACAATGAGAGATGAGCACATGAAACACTAATGCAAACAAAGGGCATGAAGGCTCCCAGTGGTTTGCAGAGATACTAAAGCAGGGAGAGCTACTGGGAGGAGACCAGAGGTGCACTGAAGGGATTTTAAGAGATAACAGATCAGAGCTGGTGCAGCTTCAGAGTTCTGTTTCTGCTAAATAACAAAGTAATATAAACGGGCTCTAAGTTCAGATGGTATGGAGGAAGGAAAACAATGATATGGTCTCAAAAGATGTCACCTATGATGAGAATAGCGTGTTACTTATTTACCTTTAACTCCCTGACTATCTGCAGTAAATAGAAGTGTCTAGTTACTTTTAAGGCAGTCACAGTTTTACAGCACTAACTCTTGGTTTTTGTTGATGTGATGGACTAGCATCATTTTAAAGCAGTTTTATAACCTTCACATCTTACTTGTATTTATTGCCTCACATTTTATATGAAACTTATTACCTTAAAATGACCACAGAAGTGAAATTATTATCAGAAAACGACTCAAAATCTGGAGCTGCAACAACTAGTTTGTGGTTGTTTTATTTTATGAGGCTGAATGCTGTAGATTTAATTACACTGTACATTTAAAGGGACCTATGCGGGATAATACATGAAAATTAGCAAGAGCCATCAACTGTTCGGTTTCATGCTTTGTATTACAACTATTTTGAAAAGCATCATCGACGATTTTAAATAGCGTCATGTTGTGCACAGTGTGTGATGTAAGCGCTGCTCTCACGGTTATGACGGCACATGCTTCAGTATTTTATTCTGGTTTACAGGACGAAGCTAACCTTCTGATAAAGAGTGTCTTATACACTGAACGGTGGTTCAGAGACAAATTTAATCCACATTTAGTTAAACAAAAGTATTTAATCAAACTGACAGTCAGCGTATAACAAATATCTGCAGACTTTACACCAGAAATGGACTGAGCTTAATCACAATATATTTTCTGGTTGTTGGTCGAACTGAAAAAGACTTGACCATGTGAACGATGGCGTTATTGGTGTCTCTATTTTATGAAGATTTATGTTTATAGGTAGGAAAAGGAATCAATTCAATGTTTTAAAATGTATTGTTCGTCACTGCCTTATTGTTGATTTGTACTTTGGTAAATGCGTATTGTGAAGATAAAAACATATCAACAGGTCATCAGTGCACCTCTAGTAAAGACATTTTATTACAGGTAAGAGTAAGAGAGGCATTAAACCTGTGATTTATAATGAGACTTTAAATATGAAGGTGATCGTACATTATAAACATTACACGTAAACGTGTCATAGAAAACTGCTGATGAGGGAGACAGTGGTTAGTTTTGATTGTTAGAGACAAAAGATGAAGAACAATGACTGGACAACATGCTGACGACAAGCCAATCAGAGACGTTAATAGAAAGAGTTGTGAAATTAGTCGAGTTAACAAACAGTGATGGAGAAGAGTGACTGGCACCGGTGCAAACAGAAACCCCAAAGACCGCTGACACTCAAACCATCCAACAGCCCAACATCTGTCAACATCTGTCAACATCTGTCATCTCCACGGGTCAGTACGAGGTTATCTCACTGAGTTCAGAGGTACAGAGAAGGCAGCGTGGCCGTAGCATGCGAGGCCGACAAACTACCTCCCACATTCAAAGTCAGACTATGTCTACTTTCGGATGATTTCTTGAACAAATATATTAATAATTAGTAACAAAATCAGCCCGTCACGTCCACACAGATAAACACAGAGAGAGTAAACCCGGCTCCCATGCACAGAGAAAGGGTTAGCGAGGTGTTACAGTCGGATGATTCAATCTCCCAAGGAGTAAAAATGTTACTGGAAATAAAAACACAAAGATTCAGGAAACCAGATCATCACATGATGCATAAAATCCACCTCTGACACTCACCGTGCAAACACCTTTATCTTATCAGGATCAAATATAGTTTGGTGTGTGTGTGTGTGTGTGTGTGTGTGTGTGTGTGTGTGTGTGTCAGACATATCGAGTGTTACCTAGCTTTATCTCTTTGACTCCTGTATACAGACCTCTGCTTCCTTCTTTTTTTGTATTTTACAGACTTTTTGTTTCCAATTTAATGTGATCTAGTAATTAAAGCAGGGGTCTGCTTTTATTATAATGTTTTTACATCAAGACAATAAACAATTATTAAAATGCTCCGACTAAAGAAGACATGATCTGTGATCTGTGGCTTCTGCAGGTATGAAGAGGAAGTCAAGAGTGGCCTGAAAACAAAAGCTTGAATGCTCGTAGCGCAGGAGTGGTCGAGAAAGACAGACTGATAAAGTATTGAGCAATAATCATAACTTCTGTACATGAAGGACTTTTGTTTGTAAGGCCTCGTGTCCACCTAGCATTTTTTCGAGCAGAAAAGTGCTGGCTGTGCACTCAGGAGCACTTATATGAAGTGTTTGTGCGCTGAGAAGAAAAGTGCTGCACGCCCGTCCTGTCTCTATGACAGGCCGCTGTATGATCAACACTGCTCCGTTACTTTTTACACAATTTTTTTTAAATTTTAGATCGTTTATTTCTCGATCAGACACGGAGCAAAGAGGATGTGGGTACAAGACACGATCTGTAGGCGGTAAACTACAGGGAGTATCGGGTTATATGTCTGTTGAGTATCGTGCACTTTGGGTTATTTTCTGTTGAATTGTATTTAATAATTTTTAGTATTTTACATTTCTTATGTTCTTGCTGTTGTTTATGTTCTTCTGTGTTTGGTTTAGTTTGTTCTTGTTGTTTGTTAAAGCACTTTGTAAACCTGTCTTTTTAAAAAGGTGCTATATAAATAAAGTTATTATTATTATACATTTGGAAAAGACTCAGAGGGGCTCAATAAAAAGGCGGAGCTGCGCTTTTTCTCCAGGCGGCCGCTTTATGCTGCGAACGCTCTCTCCTCATTTAAAACAGACACTGGAGCTCAGAACGCTAGTGGTGTTGTGAAAGTCTCTAATTTAATATATGTTGAAACAGGAAGGACAGTGAACTCACCCTTCATATTCATGACGGCTGTGAAGCACCCTCATCACGATACAAGCAGCTACAGCGACGAGGACGAGCAGAAATAAAGCACCACAAACTGCTCCGACTATAATGGCTGTGTTGCTGGCAGGAAGAGATTCTGCAAAGATTTAAAAAGAAAACAGAAACAACACACAAAGTTTAGTTTTAAAATATCATGTATGAATTTTTCTAATCTTTTTATAACCATCTGGTGACCATCATTAAATTAGCTTTTAACCATCTTTATGAACATTTATTTCAGCCTTTGTAAATTATGTTTTACATACATACTGATGTGGTTTACAGATAAATAGAATTAGTGACAGATCCCAGCACATTCAGTGGTTGTTCTCAGCCTGTCTCAACATGTTGTTGTGTAACTTTAGAAGAACGTGGTTATGAAGTTTGATGTCACAGTCCGGACTCACTGATCCCTCTCCATCAAGCTTTGAAAAAGACTGTGTGTTGAGGAAATATACTTCAGCAAGATCTAAAATACTTCAGCCAGAGTTGAAACAACCTGTCATGGTAAATTCTTGTATCCTGGTACTGCACTAGTGCCTACATAGAATGAGAAAAACGGTCCACTGTGAGGGTGGGGCAAATTCTACAGAGCCAAAAGATAACAAGCCGTCACATGCACATGTGGGCTTCAAGGATCTGAAAACAAAAACAAGAAAGCAGCTGCTAGATCACCTTTTACAGGTCAGATATTCAGACCTCACAGAGCCAGGACACTGAGGGACTATTTGATGAACTTAACCTCGTTTAAACTGGGATCATGGGGAATTTCAGTGTGTGCACGTGTAGGTGTGACCTGCGGTGTAAAAGCTCTTTGAGTAGTCAGAAGACTAGAAAAATGTATACAACCTCAAATCCATTTACCATTTACACTGAAGATGAAAATAAATCCATTATTAACAGAAGAACAGCGTCATGCTTCCTTAAAGGCGTGACTGACAGCACATGTATTACAGACACTAAAGCCGATGATTCTGATTCGGATGACGTGCATCAGAATCTCACGGTCTGTGAGAATGTTTTCTACGACGGGCAGGAACAGGAGGACAAGAGGAAACATAGAAGTGCTGATCAGACAAATCTTTGCAACCGGTTTGACAGCATCTCATGGGAACAAGCACGCCAGCGACACCACGGTAACCAAACTAAACAACTGCTTTTACTGTCCTGATGAATGAATAATCATCATGCCATGTGTGTGCAGTTCACAGCATGGCATTAACTCTCCCAGCCCAAAATAAAAGACTGTTGATATGAAATAACCGACCTTTTTCCTGAGATACGTCTGCACTTGTGCTTTCTTTCTTTGCTCATCATTTGATATTCCGCTGTAGGAGAAAGTTGGTTTCATTTTAAGTACTTAATGATCTGGGTTTAAACTGAGATGTAAAGAGGGTTTATATGTTATCCTGTGTACTTTAGGTATAGAGGTTGTTGCAGCAGGTACTTAAGGTAAACAATTCTTTAATCCAGGTTTTAATTTGTTGTAGGCGATGCCTCCCACTAGCTGTGTCCAGAGCAGCTGGTCAAATGTATGTGATCATAGGTAACCAAACTTTAAATCCTGAGAGTAAGAAACCTCCATGAGTGGGTTTAAACATCTTCTTGCCTGGAGACGAGGCAGATTCATACTGCAAGCTAAGACTGCAGCATTTTCCCACACCGTTCAATCTGTGTGTGTGTGTGTGTGTGTGTGTGTGTGTGTGTGTGTGTGTGTGTGTGTGTGTGTGTGTAGAGAGTCAGTGTGTGGGTGAACACAACTCAAGTGTCTGGCCAAGGTCGGAGTTACATATTCAAGAGGCTCTTGTGTAATCCGAGAATCTCTGCCTGAGGCTCTGACTGACTTTTCACAGGAACACCTTAACAATAAAAAACATTTGAATGGTCATTTTAATCACCTTTCAGGACGACCCTGAGCTCCATTCGAGCAGGTGTTCCCATCACGTCAGGTGGGTTCTTCACGTCGCAGAAGAAGGTGCCGTTGTCGCTGAACTGAGCCGGACTCAGCTGTATCGAGACGTCCCTCTTATTTATGTCTCCGATAAACTGCACCCTGTCTTTGAACTCTGCTAGACCTGGGTATTCTTTACCATTTGACAAGTAGAAAATCTACAAAAAAAGAGGAGGAAAATCAGGTTAAAATTATAAAACAGAGACCGAAACCAAAGCAGAGTTCAATCACTGTGGCAATTCAATCGTTCAATCGCCATTTGGCCAATAAATATTTGAATCGGCTGAATCAATAAGCAAGGTTTCAGAAAAGAAAAGAAAATATTTGAGTGTAAAAAGCTTATGACTTCTCTGCTGAACCAATGGGGTATTGGTTCAGCAGAGAAGTCATGAGCCATCATTGGAAGCCACCATAATGAAAATCCCACCTATACCTTCATTTGATCAAGCTGTAAGTCACATTTAGGAGTTTTCCACAAGCAACAACGGTGCTGCTTTAAAACAAAAACTGCACACTACTTTCCAGATTTCAGAAACCAGCTGTGCAAAAGTTACCTCACAGTTCCTGAAAACAGCCTCAGAGAGAGAGACAGATTATCAACATGAAACGACTTCAGTCAGGGCTTTCACTGACTTTAATCACACGGTCTGTTCATTTTTGAGAGATGCAGCAGGACTCTGCAGATAACTCTGCTCCGGGTACAAACCTAGTTCAGGATGAACACTGGAGGAATCCTGACCTAGAAACAAGATAAACACATCAAGATGAGCAGCAGCTTTTAGCCCCTCCTGATGTACTGGGTCTCTGTGGGCGACCTGTTTTTTTTTTTTACATAAACCTGCTTTATGCAGTGTTTTTTAGCAGCCTTCATTTCCAGGTAGTGGCCTTGGGTTGTTAAAGTTTATGGACTGTCATGCGGTGGCTGCTGCATTGCTGATTCTCATTTTAGTTAAAAACAGGTTCTAGTAAAAGATCATCTGTATTTTTAATAGCAGACATTTTGAATTGTCACCAGCTTTACTGAAAGAACGATATAGATATCTGCCCAAAAAATCCCATATCGGTCTGGCCTTAACATAAAAAGCCCCAAAATAAATCTTAAAAATGTCTTTTTAAATGTAAAATTTGACTCAGCTCACGAGTAAATGAATGACATATTGTTCATTACTTTGTAACCAATGCATTCAAATCTTTTTAGAGAGCACATTTCAAAATAACAAAAGTTGACAACATAAACAAAATAAAATAAAAAAAATAAAAACCACAGGACACTACAATAACAAAAAGTGTTGTTTAGAGTGTGCACAAAGAATACCAGATCCCTGAAACTGAAGCATTGTGTTTGTTACACCTGTTTGTCTAAATAGCTTCAAACGCCAAACTGATAGCAGAGCGTTCAACCCTTTATGAGCAACACTGAATCATCAAGGCCAGTTGGAACTCATCTTTTCCTCAAATGTTTGACGCCTTATTCCCACAAGTCCTGTTCACATTGACAATAACCAGAACATCAGTCATTGTGGGACAACAGAAGAGTGTGTAATCAAGACAATTCAGCGAGGATACGACCATAAAACGAGCGTGAATCATTCTCTTTAAGGATCAGGATTTCTTCTGTCTTTTTTAAACACTTCTTTCACACGCCTGCCATCACTGAGGGCGCCATGGTTAAAAATAACAACGTTTGCTTGAAGTCTCCTCAGCACTAATCTGGCTCTGGCTCACACACGGGGGACAAGCGCCAGAGTTTTTTTTTTTTCTGTGTGTGGAATCATGGCTGTGTCACATTTAGCAGTGTCAGCTTTGTAAACGGAGCTTTTAAAGGAAGGACAAGTTGTGTTATGATAGGTTGCTTCCTGCAGTCCGAGGATAACCTTTCTTATCTTATTCACGTTACAGTGACAGGAATGATACAAAGAGTGAAACTGATTATTCAGGATATTTTGAGCGGTTTTCACACATGCACTTCTGTTATTTCCTAGAACACTTCTGCACAGCTTGCTCCTAAAATCTGCCTGAGTTCCTCTTTCACACACAAGACCCTCAGAGGGTGACGTTTTGACTGTCGGAGGGGAGGGGTCTCAGGAGGAGCGACGTGACATAAAAACGACGACTCTAATCCAAGATGGCAGATGAAGCAACAGATTCTGACCCCATGATGACAGCTTTTACTGTTATGTCAATGCTACATATAACTGGATGCATTGACAGTATCAAACGAGTCTTGACAAATATGTCATGGACAAGGTTCTGACTGTATATTCTCCGTTACATACTGGCATACCTTTCTGTGTTCTAACCTCTCTCCATTTTTCAAAAGCATCTCCAATATTGATCCTAGTTTGAGCACGTTTCTGCTCGTGGAGCTTATTAGAAACATGCAGAGGCTTTTTAGGTCGGGTACAATCACTTCTATCTGAACCACTTCTCTTGCCCGCTTCCATCGCAGCAACACCTGTTGACCTGATAACTGCTCTCATACCTGGCAAACCGAGGGGCGTCCAAAACGGCTGTGTGTGTGTGTGTGTGTGTGTGTGGGGGGGGGGGGGGGGGGGGTCGCCCTAAAAGCGCCTACCTTCTCTGGTCCAAACAAATCCAGAGCATTCAGGAGCAGAATCTAAAGTTAGAAGGAGGACATACTGGCTGCTGCATTGTTGTCAGAGAAGCCAGCACTTCAACATAGCATGTTTCCTTAATGTCTGATCAGAGAGTAAGGTCACTTTATCATTTCAATAAGAAGATAGCTTACTGATTTCTCCTTTGACATAATCACTTTATTCAGCCGACTATACAAGTTGAAACGAGGCTTTAATGTGGACAGACTTAAAATGTTGGTTGCATGTTTCTGCTCTGGCATGAATACTCTGCAATTTAAAAACCCGACGGCCATGTCGTTATGTTTACAGGATATCAGAGCAGACAGGTAGGCCCCCGCCCAGCCTGCAATGATGCGTACACAAAGAGGAGCGGGTGCTGTGGATGGGACATGATCTCTAATCCTGCACCACAAACTTCCTCTATTCAACACTCGTACTCTGCTCTATTTACATTTTTCTCTGATTAAAATACAAACGCAAAAATACGACTTTGGGAAGTTAGACATTAATCTTCCAAAGCACCTTCTCCTACTGACATCTTAAATATTGAACATGTCCTGCTGTCAGATTTAGTGTCAAAGAAAGAAAAACAGTGATGTGTGTAATTCATTAATTTCCTTGGCGCTGACTGAGACAGTTTTATCACTTTACAGTAAATCTCTACTGTCTGAAAATGACTTCTGTGGTATTCTTCTGCTTTGTGAATCAAATCCTTCGACTTGCTGTACAAACACGTCTTCAGCTCTATTTTTAAGCGCGTGTTGTATTTGGGCAACAAGAAGACGAAACACAGCGATACAAAAACAAACTGAGAGATTAAACTGTGACGCTCGAGCATGATAGAGACACAAGATACACAGACGATCAAATACAAACAGAGCTGAAAGTGACAAGAGAGTGAAGCAGGAGGACGTCTGGAAACTAAACTGAAAACAGGTGCTGATGTTGTTTTAGTAAACAAACGAGAAGATTTAAAGTAGGATGTTATTAAAAATGTGTTTGTTAACTAATGAAAATAAAAACGAGGCTTTACAATGAAGCTTTTACTAACTACAAGTGTATTTGGTTTATAAACAAAATAAAATACATAAATCTGTTTAGTTTTCATCTTTATATTTATTTTGTCTTGATGTGTTTATTATCTTTCGTCCATTAGTCTGAAGTCATATTGAGTGCATCTTTGTTTTGACTTGCTGTGGCTGGCCATGTTGTTTTCTTTCTTTATGTTCACTTCTAAGTTTCATGATTCACTTTGGAAACTCTTGTTTTGAAAGGTCACACATTCTCCTCCTCTTCTTCAGTCTAAATAAGTCTCAGAGCTCCTCAAAACATGTGTGTGAAGTGTCTTGTTCTAAATCCACTCTGATCCTGTATTTGATCATGTCTATAAACCCCTCTATTTCAGCCCTGCTCAGAACAGGCTGTTTCTGTGTCTGTACCTTTAAATATGTAAATGAGCTGTGTCTGACCACGCCCCCTCTCTGGAAGGGCTCGGGTGTACTCGGTGCTTTCTCTCTCCATGTCCTACTGTTTACATTGAGAAGGCAGACTCAGAGGGCAGAACAAACACCTAGCTGTGGGAGTGTCACCCACCTGGGGGAGGGGCTACCTCCTTGATAATGTGTATTTTTAATAATATGTGACCTTTAAATGTTCGACATACATTAAAGCTCCTGGGGGCTGTGTTGATTTTGTCGACCCCTGTCTACAAAGCGACTTCACAAACCAAATTCACTACGGCACTGGTGACAAACACTGGGTTTTATGCGAGTGTGAAAACACCATGATAGTCTCGGTGATATTTTTCGGTCATATTGAGGCATCAGTATATTTTCAGTATGTTTCATTACCAGCATGTCATTATTATTAACATGATAAATCTTAAGTACAGTATAAATAAACGCCTGGCACTGTGATACTACCTCTCTACATTAAAACCATCACAAAGAGGAGCAGCTGAAACCTTTCTTCATGTGACAGAACAGATAAAAAAAAACAATCACAGGAAATCATCCTGGAGCTGGGGGGGGGGGGGGGGGGGAATCTCTCCCAGAGCGGATATATACGACCCCGAGAGGACTCACCGTATGCGCAGCTTTGGAGAACTTATTGTCGAGCTGACTGGACTGGAAGCTCCAGGTCACGACGGTGGTGTGGCTGACGACTTCACTCGACTTGAAGGTGCATCGAAGGGTTCCCGCCGTGCCGTTCTGCAGGATCACCTCCGAGTCGGCGTAGATGTCGATCGCTTGTGTTGACTTTGTGACTGTCAATAAAAGAGAAGAGGGAATATCGTTAAGTCTGTGTACAGCTGAAGGAGGGCGGTCACAACGTTTGGGCTCAATGGTTTCTGTCTGATGATCGTTTATTTTGTGGAACTGAATATTTGTAGAGATGCAACCATCAATGTATAAGTCGTCCAGGCTTGTTCGTCTGTTAACCATCTATAATACTTTAAAGATTTACCTGCTAGTGATATTTTAAGAGAATCCATATTCCCTATTATATATTATGAGGCGCCAGATGGCCAACAGGCTGTGTTGTGCGCCCCACGTGTGGCACAGCGGCCGTGGGTTCTAGTCCAGCCTCGGCCCTTTGCTGCACGTCGCCCCCCGCCCGCTCTCTCCTCCCAACATTTCCTGTCTCTCGTCCACTCTTCTATCTACTAAAAAGCATAAATGGCCAAAGGTTCATATATGTGCTTTGAGAAACACACATGGACCATTTTTAACTTTCCAGAAAATAATTTGAAGATAACCAACGGTGGAAATAATCATTAGTTGCAGATCCTTTAAGTTGAACTTGAATGCTGGATGGGAAACTCAGCAGGGGAGGTGGGAGGTGGGGCGGGGTAAAGTAATACAACATAACTGTAGGTAGAGCCTCACTATATTAGAGGGGCTTCAGACTGACACAGTAAACACATCGGGGGTTCTGTGTTGGAGTGGTTTTGTTTGTTCAGGTACCAGTGAGACAATGAAATATTATACAGGACGTCCACTATGAGCAACAGACTCACGTTTGAAGGCCTTTCAGACAGGATGCTTCAAATCTACAAATAACAGCGGCAACTTTTTTTGTTTTGTCTTTGGTCACAACCATCAAAGATGAACAGAAGAGTTCTACTTCAGTTTTTTACTTTAAGTAGAACATACACAACGACAACAAACTGACCAAAAGTCAAAGGATTCATAAATTAAGTGTTTGATGCTTCAATCGTTAAAAACAATACAATCTTTGTTATTTTCATTATCATCAGTACTGAAGCTTAAAAAACAGATTGTCCATCAGACTTTTTACACAAATCAGTGGAGAGATAAAGATCCTTTCAGACTGTTTCTGCAAAAGCAACTTAACCAAGCGCACCAATTCCACAATGGCATACAATTTGTCAATTCACATTACATGGGGGATTCAGTGGCCTAGTGGTTAGTGTGTGCACCCCATGCACGGAGGCTGTGGTCCACCAACCTGAGGCTCCTTTCCCGCATGTCATTCCCCACTCTCTTTCCCAGATTTCTGACTCTCCACTGTCCTGTCTACAAAAAAAGGCTCAAAAAGCCCCCAAATAAATCTAAAAAAAACATTCACATTGCGTTTCGGTATTACAGTAGCCTGACAGGAAGCGCCATATAAACACACTGTCAGAGATATGCGCGCACACACACGCACACACACGCACACACACGGCTCAGCTGATCCCATTTCGCCCCTGTAACTACCTCCAAAGACATTACAGGTGTAATGGGGGGATGTAACTTCATCCCCCCCTTACGCATCCCAAACATTCAGATTTAAAGCAAAACTTCACAGGCGCATAAATATGGCGCCTTGAAACAGCCGTCTGACAGGACTAAAGAGAGAGAGAGAACAGGAATGGTCCATTTACATATCAGCAAATAAAGAAGTGTTTGTATTTGTTTGGTGCTCTGTGCATGTCTCTTACAAAAAGGAGATGAGATGACCCGGTCTAAACTGAACAAAGTTTTGGTACTCAAACATTGTCAATGCATTTGTGCAATTTAGACAGTATAAAGGTTCTTGCCTGTAATTTTTTTGTTGTTGTAAGAAATAACCTGACATTCAGTGCCCAGGACTTCTGTTTTTGAAGCTGTGATATCAAAACATGTATTGATACTGTTCGACAATGATATTTTGTTGAAAACAGTCGAATAAAACAAACACAATTAGTCATAAATTCCTCAAACTTCAGAAAGCTGGAGACTGAAGCCTAAACATTTTGTCTAACTTTGATATTCGTCACAGCTTTACCCTCTCACCCAGAAGAGTGGACTGGTTAAACTAAACAGTAAAAGAGTAAATAATTAAAATAAATAAAGAAACAGCAGAAGACGGAATCTGTTACAAAGTAATCCACAGGTGTGTGCTCGTGCATTTTATGAGATCGGCCAACGCAATGCTCTGTCAGATGACGCACACGTTGACCCTGGCCTCAGTATATCTGTACACCGACATGTCAACATCCTTATACTCTACACATCCACACTCGTGTACATCGAACAATCTGCTACAGCCAATATTTATTCCTCTCATCCTTTACATTCCTTTACAATTTACAGAAACACTTGAACTTTATGCAGACGTTGTTTTTCATAAACTGTATGTTTACATTAGACCCTATACATGCCGTAGTTCTGCTTATTTTAAACATTTTCTTTAGCTTTGTTGTGTGTGCTTTTAGCCGTGTGTCTATTTCTATCTTTTGTAAATTGTTCTTGGAGCTGGGACATCGACAGCAACGAACGCTGGAGTCAGATTTCCTGTCTGTGCAGAAATAGTGAAAAAATAAAGCTGACTATGATGAGAACATTTTGAAGCAGACAGGACGCCTGAGACTGGGTTGTTGTTTGTTTTATTTGCCTGAAGAACGACATTATGACTCAGCTGATGATCATAATGGTCAATCAGCAGATACAGTTATCTATGAAGAGATCAATCAGCAGCTCTCTGGTGGTGTTTTGGTGTGAGGCAGAAACCAATAGAAAAGTGTAAACAAGGGTTGAATCTGTCGGTAAAAGATAAATACATGAATTATTAAGATGCACTCTCAAAGTAGTATGACGGAAGTTTTTGTGGATGTCAGAGCTGTATAGGGGTTTTCACACTTGCAGAAAACTCCTGAAAAACTCCTGATATTTCCAGGAGGAGCTGTATGTGTGAACGCCAACAGTCGGATTTTTCACTCCTGGAGTTTCTCCTGCCAGACCTCCTCGTATTCCTTCCGCAGAAAGCCTGAGTGTGTTTATATCATGTGACTGCTGCAGGCGACCGCTACGATCTCTGTGCATGTACATAAACGGCTGCATTACGTTTTCTGTTCTCCAGTATGTTCTCCGCTTTTTTGTTGATGTTGTGTTTCCGTCGACCCCCGCCCCCCTCCCGTCTGACAGGGATAGTCTCCCGCTGTGAGGAGCATATGTGAAAACAGCTAAAGTTAAAGGTTGCTTGTTTACTCCGGCTCTTTTTAATTGTGTTTCTTGTTTGTTTAATTTCTCTGTAAAGCTCTTTGATTTCCCTCATTATATGAAGAATTCAACACAATAACACTTCCTTTTCTTTCCTTGTTGGCCTGTTATTGCACGTCAATGTGGACTGCCAGAGTGAAATCACTTCCCCAATGTTAACACGTTTTTTTATGAGCACTGGATGTCATGGTAATACTTTCTGTTTACTCGTTCTACCTCTGTGCTAAAAGCAAACATATCACTGTGTTCAGTACTGCAGGGTGAACAAATGAAGGTCAGATCACGGATAAACTAAAGGAGCTGATTGATTAAGAAACTGCTTTATTAAATTTTGGGACTGGGTGTGCCAGTGGCCTAGTGTTTAGTTTTGTGCAGAATGGTTGCTTTTGATCGTTCAGGTGTTAATGGTTTAGAAGTGGGTAGAACAGACACTGTGCCAAATACACAGAAACTCTCTTCTCTTATAGGTTTAAGATTAAAACTGTAAATTACTGATTAATAACTTGTACAGGTGCAGCTCTGAATGGGCGACGTTGCCTAGAACGTTTTTCTTTGTAACCTTTGTAAGATTTGTAAACACCTTGGAAAAAAGTCCAGCCACAACTTTGGCAAACACGGACATGAGACTTTCACATCTGCTCCCACAATAGGAGGAGGATCTAAAAGCTTTTGATGCAAATAAAACAGGAGCACAAAAAAAAAAAAGCCCCCCGCACCCCATCCCGTCTGCTACACTTTACACAGCAATTAGACGAAATTCAGCCTCGGGCAACGCAACAGAGATTCTGAGTCAAGGGAATACTCTGCGTAACAACAAAAAAAGAGGCCTAGACAGCAGCAGTCAGTCAGCAGAAGATAATTTCACAATATGAAGCGGAAGGAAGCGTCAGTCATACATTTCCTCCAGTCATAAGTTATTAGTCTGAGATTTAAAAGAGCAAACTTAAAGAGGATGTTTTCCATTAATTTAAAGGGGAGTATTTAGCCGAACTAAGAAAGCATGTTTTTGAATAGTGTGTGCTGTTTTTGTCTGCTAAGTTTAAATAGGAAATTAAAGATCCAGTGCTAAACTTTATTCATCTGCTGCATCAGTTTAATCCCCATGTCATGCAGGACTCATCCCAGAGCTGCTACTGCAGAATCTGAGTCTTTAAGTATAAGTTTATGTTGAGCAAAAGAAGTGATTTTATAAGTGTTTGAGTTCTGTTTGAACATCCAGACATCAGCAACAATAACACTAAAAAACTGAAGCCATCATTAAGCCCATACTAAAGGAAAGACAAAATATCATATTATACAATATCATTACGACATGAAGGGGGGAAATTAACTATGTGGGCCAGAGAGAGGCTATCCAACAGGGACATCAGATGCTAAGCTAGTCAAGGTAAAGTCGTGCTGTATAAATATCTGAAGGGTTGTCACTACTTTAAAGCATCTGTGTTCATTTGTTTAAACTAATAATAACGATATATTAACCTGTAAATCAGTGCAAGTATTCCTCACTCGCTTATTAAGTTAGTTCACCCTGTAGGACACGTAGTAACCGAGGGGGACTCTCCCCTCACGACGCCCTTATTTAAAATAAAAGCATTTTAAGGTGGCTGAAAGTATCTAATTAATAGGGAAAACTTTCTAACATTTTCTACATTACTGTGTTACACTCTTCAAATCGGCATACATTAAACACACCCAGAAGACCTTTTGTATCTCAAATCAGACGTGTAAGCATCTGTGTTTAACGTGCTGGAGCCACTCAGCAGCCGTCAACAGGACGATGCTAACAAGGGCGGTAGCCATCGCTCTGTACCGATTCTCATTTACATTTCGGTCAGTTTTAGAATCCCTTCTTAAAATATAATTTAAGTTGAGTCGAGGTGTGGAAACTGTTGCAGAAGTTTAAATCCTTCATATAAATGTGTTCGGCGGTGTTTAATGTCGTCTTTAGTCCTTTAAGGGAGAACAAAGACACCTTAATTAGCAGGATAGTGAACAGAGGTTAGGGGTGTAGTTAGGTGTCTCCCGTACATGAGATGCGATACAACACTGCTAACAGGCTAACCTGATATCCCACCTTAAATAATGAGCTCAAAATCACACATTTTCATTTGGTAATTTCACCCTCTTCGGGCTCACACACTCACCTAGTACAATAAATAACGTAAATCCAGTCAGTAAAGCACGCTTGCAGATGTTGTTTGACCGTTTTGGCTCCATTATGTTGTTGTAAACAGGAGAAGTCCCTCTGATTTTTTTTTTTCCTCCACCCTCTGTCGTACGAGCTCTTTCTTCTTCGTGGAAAGTTGCAGTGGCGGTGAATAATTATCAGCGCGTCTGCTGCCCCCTGCAGGCGCTCTGCAGCTGTGACTTGCAGTGTGTTTGTGAACAGTTTTGGAAGTTATTACATCTTTAAGTAAAAAATATAAATTACATTAATAAATACAAATGTACTAGTAACGTTTTGGACATGCTACACGAGAAAAAATACATCTATATAATAACAAATAATAGTTTAAAGTAGAAGCAATCCAAAAAACATTATTCTACAGTCTGAATATGCGGGGGCGGCTGGGTCGGCTCTCAACCAAAAGGTCAAGGGTTCGATCCCCAGCTCCTACTGTTACATGTCCGATGTGTCCTTGGGCAAGACTCTTAACACCAAGTTGCTCCTGCTGCTTTGTCAGCGGTGCGTGAACCCTGTGGGGAAGGCGGGCCCCCTCTATACGAGGACGCTGTCTGACACAATTATCAATTAAACTGGTTGTCAAAGACAAGCATGTAAATAACTGAATGGTGCCATTAGATATATATTGCCTCAAAGGGGCAGAAGTTGCTCTCAAAGTTGTTGCCAATTTATTTTTTTCTGCCAAAGAACTTTTTGTTTAACCAGAAATTGTTTCAGCTGTACTGTTGAATACTGTAAAATAATTGAATTTAAAGAAAACATCATATTCTCTATGCTTTTCATATGTTCATATGTCCTCTGAAATATAAGAAAGTCAAAGTAGAAAAAGTGAGGAACCTCCGAATTGTCTGAAGTGAAGAACTTGAGTTCTGAATTGTCTCACGTTTGACCACTTCAGAGTCAGAACAGACTGTAGATAAACATTCACAAAGACGGCATTATGTCAACACTATCATGATGTCGGGGTGAGGTTCCTGTTTTATAGTTTGAAGCTGCAGCAGCCAAAGAACAGCTGAGCTAAAACAATGAAACATGACCGGTTTGTCTTGATGTAAAGACGATGTGTCATCCAACATGATAACTTGAATGACACATTCTGACACATTTTTAAACTAGGACAGCAGCCATTAGTAAAGACTGAAACATCTCAACAACTATTTGATGTCTCGGCGTTAAATTTCACACAAACATTGATCTTCCCCTGAGGATGAATCCTAATGACATTAATGGTTTATCTCCTGACTGGACCCCTAAGTGGTCCAACCTTCACAACAGGACCATAACTCTCTAACTAGACTTTTCTCCTCTGTCGCCCCCCGGTGGTGGAACGAACAATCTGCAGAGTCCCTTTGCACCTTTAAGAAAAAGCTAAAGGCTGCAGACTCCTGCAGCTTCAAGGACACACTTTGTATCCTATCAAGGATGCACAAAAGGTTACAGAACACGAACCAAACAAAACTTAGCTCTCAAAGTGTTTGAGTGCAAACTGCAAACATGTGAATGACAGAAACAAAGAGGCTGTGAACGACTGAGTGAGTGAGTGAGTGAGTGAGGGAGAGAGGGAGTGAGTGAGAGAGTGAGGGAGAGAGAGGGAGGGAGTGAGAGAGGGAGAGAGAGGGAGGGAGTGAGGAAGTTAGGGAGGGAGAGAGGGAGAGAGAGGGAGTGAGTGAGGAAGTTAGGGAGGGAGAGAGGGAGTGAGTGAGTGAGTGTGTGAGGTAGTGAGTGAGGGAGGGAGAGAGTGAGTGAGTGAGTGTGTGAGGTAGTGAGTAAGGGAGGGAGAGAGGGAGGGAGAGAGGGAGTGAGTGAGTGAGTGAGGTAGTGAGTGAGGGAGGGAGAGAGGGAGGACACTCGCTGTCTCAGGGGATGTAAGCAAAGAGGGGATCTGGGTTATTAATGGCTGATCCAGGGTCAGTTTTCAGTCATCCATTATTGAAATGGAAAGTGTAAGACGATAACTTTAAAACTTCAGTCACTTTTATTAACTTCAGTCTATAAAACTGAAGCTTCAGAACTTTAACTTAGACAACACTTTTATAGAGATGTTTTATTCTTGTTTTATTGAATCAGTTTTGGTCACTCAGCGTTAAGAATCACAACAAAAAGTTGCAGAATATTGTTAAAATGTGAGGCAAAATTGCAGGTTTGTCCCTCTCTGTACTTCTTTATACAGAGGAGAGTTTGAAGAAGGCTCAGTCCATCCTGGCAGATCTCAGTCAACCTTTGTCGTCAGGCCGCAGATTGAGCCCTCCAACATGCAGGATGAAGAGACTGAGGAACTCATTTGTCCCTGCTGCCATCGCCTTTTAAAATGACTAAACCAAACCAAAACGAATCATCAGATCAATGAGACAAACAAATGTCTGATTTTCAGAGTGTTTTTATTCGTCGTGACTTTCTGTTTTTTTACTGAAAATCTGAGCAGTGTGTCCTACACAGTGTGAGCTCTCTCTACGTCTGAGCACAAGTTCATCTCATTCACATCATTTCATCCCAATCACTTATGGATTAAAAGTACGTTTAGCAAATAATCCATCAATGTCAGATGAGAAATTATTAAAGAAGAAAGTCAACTCTCTAACACGACCTCGACAACTTAAGTGAATGTCTGCATCTACGAGGGCCACGAGTCGAACATGTTACCCTTAAGGACATGAAATAAAGAGACAATTAAAATCCAAACACGCTCAGTTAATATGCAGTAAGGCCTTAAGAGGGGATAACATCCACATCTCACACTGTAAAGTTCTATTTTTAAGTCCTCAGCGAGTGTCCGAACACGAGCGCTCAGCCCACAATCACACACACCAAACATGTGCAGCTTCCTGACAGTGCAACGCAGACCCACTCGCCCACACGTCCTCGTCACCTCGTAACACATTACACGACTCGACCACACAGTAAATAATCAACTCAACATATCTACAGTATGAACACATGAGACACATGCAAAAGAGAAAGAAAAGCAGTGACCATCACATCCTCAAACAGAACAATCCTGCAGAGTGCATGTTTGATATTTATGACCAGTTTTATAAGATCCTCTGAGAAACATATTTTCCACATTTGCAGCTTTGTGTCAAAACCGTCCAATGAGGAAAAAGAGGATCTAGGGTCACAGAGGTCAAGACTGAATTATACTAGAAAACAGTTCACAAACTTTGAAGATTGAAACTGTTCATTGAATTGGGGTTTTAAAAATCATATATCCTCTTTTCTTTAAGTTTTATTTTTGGGCTTTTTATGCCTTTATTAGAGGGACAGGACAGTGGATAGCGTCTGAAATCAGGGAGAGAGAGAGAGAGAGAGAGGGGGTGGGGGGGGGGATGACATTCGACAGAACAGCCACAGATTAGATTTGAAACCGGCCCGCCTGCTTGGGGACAGTAGCCTCTGCACACCGCAGCGCATGAACCAACCACTAGTCCAACTCCAGACATGTCTAAGAATACTTTCCAGTATGTTCCTCTTTGCAGATTTTGCAGCTTGAAGATTCAAAATGTGGGCGTGTAGCAGATGCTAGAGAACCACCTCCCCCTGTACTTCGAGTTGTGTAATAACTTGATGCCCACAGAAATATGAAATTAAATCCTACACACAGCAAGAAGCAACTTTTACTGATTAATGCCAACCCTCCAAATGTCCTTTAATTCTTGCATTTACTTATAAAGATGGAGAAGTAATGTTTGTGAGGAATACGGTATTCTCTGAATCATATGGCCTGAATAAAATGATTCAAAAGGACACAGTGAAATAATTCATTTTTAGGGTTTGTTTAGGGCTTAGTGTTCCTTATCAAACGTTTGTCGGATTGTTTAAAAGCTGCTGAATTGTCCCTTTAAATCTGTGCAATCTCACTACTGCGTCTGACATGTTTGCCCCTCTGTGAGATACACAAGACGACAATCTGGCAGCCTGTAGGCATCACCAGATGAGTGTGAGACTGTATAAACATGGACGTAGTCGCAATGACATCACCCACTGATTTCTGAAGAGGTGATGCCCAACGATGGCGGTCACCATTGTTGAAAAATGTTATCTCAACTAGTTTTAGAATCATAGTTTTAGAATCAGTCTTTAAACAGGTGAAGAGGTAAAGCTGAGGCGGGTCTTTGGCATCCTGACAAACAGCTACAACTCCTCAGCATGTCAGTCAACCCAACCACACCCCTAAATTATGCAAAGTTATGAATACTTTTAGGCTTGAAATGATCAGAATGGATTAGTTTATTTTAAAGTTATCCCCTCTACAGTGTGTGCCAGTAAAGAAATGAACTCTAGATACCAAATTGTTTTTTCTAACCAGGCTGTAAAGATGTTTATTCCTCCTCTAAGAATAAACATTTGAACATGGGACCTAATGGGGACTTCTTGGTTTTTGCAGACCACTTGAGGAACTGCAGTTTGCTGCACTTCCACATTGGCTTCATTATTCTACAGTAGAGGTTGCCGCTCGGTTTAGGTCAACTTCCTCTTTCACGTAAGCTGAGCAGGTGTGTAAAGTAGGCTGGGAAACGGACAAATCTCTAAAATAATGTTTCTTTTGCTCTACAGATTTGTCTGAAGTCCTGCAGGAGTCTGTCAACTCTTCAGATGTTTTTGTTTGATTCTATCCGCTGATGGAAAGTCTTTTAGGATGCTGCAATAAAATGATTCTTGTTTATAGAAAAATCAAACACAGCCTGTCTTAGTTTTTTTCCTGTATGATGCAGCGGCGTCCTAGGTCCTGAGATTGTCATCTGATTAAATCCATAAGTTGCTCCACAGATAGCAGAATATCTTGAAGTGATTTTCATCAACATTTTCATCGCTGTACTACAGATCAGAAATGACCGCTTTACTTGAGTCAGAGCTGGAAAAATCTACAACACTTCCTTTTTAACCCTAGGAGGAGTAATGACAGAGTGTTTTATTCTGTTCTGAAAAAAAAAAAAAAAAGATTTTATAAATATTTTGCCTTAAGCACCCTCAACAGCTGGATCATTTGTATTTTTTAAATGCCTCAGTAAACAAAACCTGCAAACATCTGCCCTTTGAGATATGTTAAAGAGACAGATATCAACACGAGGCACAGCTCGTGAATTTTTCCAGCTGTCGTCCAAATCTGGATTATATTAAGTGTCTCTATCAGCACTTTTTGAAGCCAACCTGTGTCTAACTCGGGGACCTTTTAGCCAGGAGAGTTTTCTCTCTGCGCCTCAGATGAGCGACAGCTGCTTTGGTCTGAAACGCTTTGTAGGTCATATATCCTCCTCCTCTTCTTCAGTGTAAATAAGTCTCAGAGCTCCTCAAAACATGTGTGTAAAGTTTCTTGTTCTAAATCCACTCTGATCCTGTATTTGATCATGTCTATAAACCCCTCTATTTCAGCCCTGCTCAGAACAGGCTGTTTCTGTGTCTGTACCTTTAAATATGTAAATGAGCTGTGTCTGACCACACCCCCTCTCTGGAAGGGCTTGGGTGTACTCGGTCTTTCTCGCTCCATGTCCTATTGTTTACGGTGAGAAGGCAGACTCAGAGGGCAGAACAAACACCTAGCTGTGGGAGTGTCACCCACCTGGGGGAGGGGCTACTGCCCTTTGTGATGTCATGAAGGGAAAATCTCCAAACGGCCTGTTTGAGCACACACTTTCTGAAAAGTGGAGCAGGCAGAAGACAGAGAGGATGGACTTTTCTCATCATTGGGGGGTTTATAGACGGACTAGAGACACATATTAGAGTTAGAGAAACATGGTGAAGTGTATTTTGCAAATGTTAAGTTCTCATTAAACCAGACGAACACCGACCGACTTCAAAGTGTTTCTCTGCTGTCACAGCAGTGTTGTCTCTTTTATACATTAGAAAGTCTTAGAAACTGTAGAATCACATTAAGAAAGTTTAACCAAAAACAATTCAAGGATGCAACCAATCAACGCAGAAAAAAAATATTTTAAAATTCATTATTTTCCATTGAAACTTTTTTTCTTTTGTTGCCATGTAGCCGTTCTTTTAGCCCTCACAAACTGGCTTAACTTGTGTTTCTAAATGTTTCGCTTAGTGATCATGAAGAAGAGAGACGTTGAGAAATAAAAACTTGGATCATGACTGAATGATTCTTCACTGTATTTTTTGCAGCTTTTAAAAATGAAACGAGGATTCTGTCAGACATTAAGAACAAAGCAAAGATACAGTCAAGGTTGATTAAGAAATGGAGAGTATTGCTCAAATTGTGTTATGTTCCTTTTTTTTTTATCCCAGTTACGTTATGTGCAAGTATTTTTTTTCCCCATGAATTTCCTTCAGTGCGTCTTTGTCACAGGCAGAAGTAAACAGTTTGGAAGTGGAAAATGTCACAGAGGACAGACAGAAAAGGGTGGAGGGACACGGGGGGGAAAAGAACAAGCAAGTGGAACAAGGAAGCGATTATTAACCATTTTTTGAGAACAGAGAAGAAAAAGAGATGCATCCAATCGTTTTTTAAAATGACCTGAAATAGAAGTCGCAGATGAAAAGTGCTTTTAGAGGACGACAAACCTTTTTGGTTGAGCTAATACAGACAGTCATATCTACAGTAGAAACAAGACACAGACAGGCGTCCTCTCCTCCGTCCAGAGTCACACATTTAGTTATTTACATCATTTTTTTTTAGTAGTGTTCTTCTTCATTATTCTTTTATGTTCAAAGACTCTTAATGTACACAAAGGGCTCCTTGTGCCGTGTCCGTTCTTGTGCCTCCTAACTCTTCCTCTGTGGTTAAGGGGGAGGAGGAGGAGGAGGGGGAGGGGGAGGAGGGGAGGGTCAGATCAATAATGTTACTGGGCCAGTGATAAGAGAGAGGGGGGGGGGGGGTGAAACTGAAGGCAGTCTTCACTCAGTGGTATCATGTCTCTGGGAGCTGGTTGATGTCAGTCAAGTTGGTGTCGTTGAGGATGACTTTGATTCGATCCAGGGACTCTGCCTGTCGTATTCGCTCCAACTGTACCTGCAGACAGACAAACGATCCGTCAATCTATGAAGTCTCCGTTCAGTGAGAGACAAGTGTGAATACATATGTTGTCTTTTCTTTCTAATTAAACCCACATAAGCAAAATCTGGCAGCACAGATATCTCTCCCTTTTGGAGATCTGGTGCTACGGCCTCCTTAATGTATAATCAATTTAACCAAAAATCAGAACTAGGAGACCAAAACATATAAAAAGGGACGCCAGACAATGAATCGAATTTCTAAAACCAGAGCTTTATTTAAATAAACCAATTTAAGAAACAAACAAAATGGACTGGAGATCTGGCTAAACAGAATAAAAGATGGGAAAGTGTTGAGTCAGCCATGTAATGGGCCGTCGCTCTCTGCACTTCCCCCTTAAACTACCTCATAACAAAACTAATCTGCAGAAACTCAAACAATCCAAAATAGGACTACCGGTCTTTCCAACCCAAACTAAAATAACAAAATCCAGGAATGTGAACATGCATGGGGGAAAACGAAAAACAAGCCTGGAACAATTTAACGAGAAACGAGCACCTCACACCGCCTCAGCCCAAAATGTTTGCATGTAACACCCCCACACTAAGATGTTGAATATACTGTATGAGCAGCAAACATATATTCAATATAAACAGCACGACAACATATCAGCACTTATTCTCTCAACTACTTACTCGTAGTGCTACACAAAGATAAACAAACCACTGCTCTATCCTAAGTGTTCTTGTTTAAGGCGTCTGTAGAAACATTTTACACCAAGAATTCTGAAGCTCATTGATGTGTTGATAAATTGAATTCAGACGGAGCTATCGAGTTTTGTCTATTGGAAGGATACATTCATAGTTGGTGGTCCTGTTTTGATATTTTGCAGGGGGGTGTTGCTGCCAGATTTGCTGTTCAACATTTATTACACAACGCTGTGCGTAAAGCGGTTTTCTCGTTCTTACCTGAAGAGTCTGAGAAAGTTTGACAAAGTCCTTCTGAACCTGCTCGCTGACGTCCAGCTCCGTCTGCAGCCGCTGAGCTTTGTCCTTCTCGTCAAACACCTGACTCTCTAGTGCACTCTGCAGGGAACACACACACACACAGAAACACACACACATAAATTAGAAAGAACATTTGCTGAATTATTTAAAATGACGTTCACTCACTCAGTCTCTGAATGAAAGTCATCACATCGCACAGATTTATAAAAAACTGTAAAACATTTATACTCTTAACATGCAGGTTTATTCTTGCATGCTAAGAGTCCACCTAGAGTTTTCTTCCCGGGCTGAAAAGCGCCGGCTGTGCTCTGAGAAGAAACGTACTGCACGTCCGTCCTGTCTCTATGACAACAGTCTGTATGACCGACACTGTTACTTTTTACTTCATGTTTGATATTTGAGATCCTGAGTGCTTTGTGTGAGTTCAACGCCTCATCTCACCACAATAAACACATCAGCTCGGCCTCACCGCCTCCCGTTATTACTTTAAAATGAATGAATTCAGGGTCAGACTTCCTCCACACACGCTTTAGGAGATTTCACTGACACACTCTGTGTTCTACTTAGTGACAAACTGGATCCATTTTGTGTCAATGTGAAGTTAAAATGATCTTTCTTACCGGAGCGTAAACATGTTTGACTCCATCTGAGGAAGTGTTGGGATTCATGTGATTAAATTCAAATGTACCTGGTCTTTAAGTTGCTCGTTTTTTTAAGCATTTAAAAAAAAATTTTTTTATCCTTTTGCAAATTCTTGAGCACATTTAAAAATAATATACTAATGTCTGTAGGCTCAATAAATGGAACTGTGATTTCAACAGAGGGTCACTGGTTGACATTGGCTGTGTTACATTATTCTCCATGTGTTGTATCCGTCACAGATGAAGAATTGAAACTCAGCTCGGTGGAATCGGATGTTAGCTACACTCTGATATCGTAGGTGACATGAGGCACATTGTAAGTTCAGTTCAGAGGTTTGTAAATGTGTTAGTTACTAACCTTTGCAGCGGTGAGATCTTTGAGCTGCTGCTCCAGGCTGCTCCTCCGGCTCTGGATGCTCGACAGTGTTTCTGTCTTCTCTGCTAGACTGCTCTGCAACTACACACACACACACACACACACACACACAAACAATTTATGTTCTGTAACTTACAGAAAGTTTGTTTGGTACATTTTAGTCACAGTGAGTTTCACTTTGTAATGGACGTCCCCTTCTTTTTGTTCAGAGAGCTCTGGAAGCTTCCCTTTGAAGGTTTCATACTTCATGATATCAAAGAGCAGGTACCTGTTGCTTCTCCGCCTTTATCCGCTCCAGCTCCGTCTTCAGACTGGAGAAAGACGCTGTGGGAGAGAGATTTCATCAGAGGACCATAATGTACTGTACAGCCGAAAACTGGATCTCAAAGCCAAAGAGATTCTCTCTAGAATTATTATGTGATGTGTTGACCGAGTACTTCAAACTGCGTCGTGTGTGCGACACAACCTTAAAGTTTAGAGACTCGCTGAGTCTGTGTGACAAACAAATAATTAACTTTTCTTTCATAAAAATGGCTGCACTGATTTTTTGTTTGGACAGCTCATTGCTCTTAAAGTGGTCAAAATGTTCAACACTTAAACTTTTGGATACCCTGTGTTTAAAACGATACAATCTGTGTTCATTTAAAGATTTATAGAATCGTAAAGTACCAAAGTTTAAAATAACTGCAGATCTTAAGTCATATTTTTTTAAACCCAAAGAGAGAGAGTAAACTGACACACTGTCTAAATTGCATAAATATGTTGGCAACATCTTTATGCAATTAAGTGCTTCAGAGGTTGATGTCATTTTGGCAATTATAAAGCAAGAAATTAGCCGGTATAAGGTTCCTAAGTCTCGTATTGTTGTTGCCGTGGTATCGAGACAAGTATAGACATCATCTGATTTTTACGAGAATCATATTGACATTTAAAAACCTGATACTGTGACGAGAGACGACCTACTCTGTCATGTTAAAAAGACGAGAAACTCGCACCAAAGTCATCTCTGTGTCTCCAGCAGATAGTTATCAAACTTGGTCCCCTTTTGTTTTTTTATAAATTAGAAAACTTTAATAAATAAATAAAATTGTGCTCTGCTAATTTATGATGTGAAAAACGTTCTGCAAAGTTTTCTGAACTTTAACATTTAACTTGGACGAATTAGGGAGCTCCAATAAACTAGCGGTTATGTTGCACGCCCCATGTACAGAGGCTGTAGTCCTCGTCAGAGCGGCTGTGGGTTCGAATCCGACCTCGGCCCTTTGCTGCATGTCACCCCCCCACTCTCTCTCCCCCTCCAACACTTCCTGTCTCTCTGGGAGGAATTTGGACGTGTTAAACTGCAGCTGAGCCTGAAAATGTCTCGTAACTGTTCCTCCTGTAGACCTTTAAAGAAGACGTGTTCATGCTGTGAGTGAAACGTACTATTGTTCTAAGCTTCCCAACAACGTCACCTATAAACAGGAAACATCCTCGTATGACATTTTAAATTCACAGTGACACACATTATGACTTCAATCTGCGCAGCAGGGACAGCATTCAGTGAGGTGAATCGTCTATTAATGCACATTGGAACCTTTTCTAAAGACAGTTAAAAACATGTGAGGGAAAGCGGTACGTGGTCGGCTCACTGCAGTTATTAGTCCGACAGCTACACGATAAACAAACACAAACAAGCAGTTAAAGTCGGCTCATTCCAAACGTTTGTCATACCTTCCAAGATGTCTGAATGAAAGTGATGGACGGAGAGGGAATAAAAGCAGAAGAGAATGAAGAGAATATCCAGAAAATGAAAGATCTCTCCACAAATGTTTCAGAGAGTTTTTGCTCGCTGACATTTCTCTAAATACGATCGGTTAAGTCATACATCCGACCTGCTGATCACCGCTGTGTGGATGATTTAATCAGCAGGCGTGAGACTCACCGATCTCCTCCTTACAGCCCTCGATCTCCAGCTGCAGCGTGTCCTCCAGGTTCTCCTTCAGACACTGCTCCGCTTGGATCTGCTCCTTCAGGAACAGGATCTCCGCCTTCAGCTTCTCCTCCATGTGATCGGCGGACGTCCGTAACGACACCAGGTCCTCACGGAGCCTTATCGCCAGGCTTTGTAGCTCCTGAAGAAGAATAGAACCAAGAAATTACAGAAAACACTTTGTGGAATTATCATCATCACCGTGCAGCACCGTTTGTGGAGACGAATCAAAAATCCTTCAAATCTCTGGTTAGAAAATGTTGTGCTGTATGCAGATGACACACCTTTGTACCAATCTGTTGAAACATACAGTTTTATTTTTTTTTCAATTTGAAAACAGAGGTGGGGGTCAGTATCAAAGCAATACCAGCATTCAATCCCAGATGTACCCAGATCTGGAAACATTTTCATCCATATTAGGGATGTGTGCTTTTAGTCGACTAGTCTGAACTGTCACAATTTTGGCCTTTGATGCCGGTCGATACAGACACCCACCACTAGATGGCTGTAGCTCCGGTTAATGAGCCCTCTCTCCTCACTCTACAACCAGGATGTAAACAAGCCCAGTGAACAGATATCTCATAGGAGCAGTGTGGTTTGGAAGTATTTTAATCTGCAGGCTGTGTCAGGTTTAACTGGAATATTGAGCGGTGCAGTGTGTAACCACATTCAGCACAGCTGCAGGTAGGACTGGAGGCTGATGTTGCTAGCGCTGCTAAATTTAACCCCACACTGTAAACCTTATAACATTGTTAGATGCTGATTTAAAAAAAGAAAAAAAGATAAATTTTTCTAAAATCTGACTGTTTTCTTACCTTTAGACTAGTCGCTTATTAAGAATTTAAATCTTTGTTAAACCTTTTAAGAAAACATTCGGCCGGGCTTTTTAATATTTTTAGGTTTGAATTTATATCAGATGTGTTTTCCCCTCTAAATTATAATTATTTATTTTTTTAGCATCAAGCTACTTTCATCTTTTAATCTGCTCAATTTATCCGCTTATCCGAGGACTAAGCCTCACGTTTTGAAAAGTTCCACTCGATATTCCGTTATTTATAGGAGTTCAGCACAGCATCAGCATCAAGCAGCTGTACACCAACATTTTTAAAACAAAGCCATGAGAAGCTTCAGTTTGGAAAGGAGCAAGGCACCTCAATCGGTGCATTTACAAGAGGGATGAAGGTAAATCTCTCTCTCTAACAGGAGTTTTGTCAAGGTCCTCGCGCACTCATGCGCTCTCTCTCTCGCTCTACCCTGCATGCAGCAATTTTATGAATAAATGAAAAATGTAATGAAACAGGTTGGAATATACTTGGCGGCCCGCCCAGGTATCGTCTGTGTGTGGGGAAACGCTGTGGGTAATCTTAACACATTTTTCAGCATCTGGCAGCCTTTATTGGATTACCTTGCCCAATATGACAGAGTCCTAGACAGTGACTGGTTTTACAGCTCAGCGCTTACCTCTCTTAAGAAATATTGTGCTTGTGATGCAAAGTAGCATGCTGTCCTGCAATTCAATGTATTACATGTTATGTGAGCAGCTAGTTTTTCCACCAACATGTTTGCTACTCCACCTCCACTGAAGCCGGGCCCACTCTGCCTGCTATACTGCCAGGGGAAAACTCAGCTAAGAGTAACAGTGTGGGAGGAGATGTTTGTGTTTTAAGAGAGGGACGGATCACACTTGTAAAACAGATTCTGTTCCCACCTTGTCAGGGACTTTAAAAATGAGCAGGGTTGTCATGAAGCAGTGAAAATGAGCTGGTGGAGTCTCACAGGTGCTACCACTGAAGCAATAAGCCGCAGCTCCTACTCTGAGGGGATTATTTTTATATAATGATGTGTCAACAGACGAGGGACTCCACTTCTCATAATGGGCCTTTTATTGCTACTAAGTGCCGTTAGGTGATGAATAGACCATCTCATAAGCCCGCTGCACGATGGTAGAAATGTTGTGGCAGTATGTCCGCTCACACTGTACGACTGAATCATTTACGACGCACGACTAAAGCTCATGAATTATGTGCTCACACTCTACGACCTGATTGTTGGACACAACCTGAGAAATCACACTCTGCAAGTAAAACCAGGATGGGTCATGGGTGGAGTCAGATCTGTGTGTATTTCAGTTGTCTCATAAACACAGGTAGAAAAGAAAACCTGGCAAAAACACTCCTCCTCTCTCACACACTCACACACACACACATACACACACACACAGCCGAGTAGCTAAATTATAACAAATTAGAAGACACAAGGCATGTTTGCTGTTGCCATGGTAATTTTAGTCTGTCAGTTTGAGCCGGCACAATCAGGAAAAAAGCCCCAGAGAAGCGGCTCGTGGCTTTGCTCTCACTGTGCGAGTCTGCGCAGTCGTACGACCAAGAACACCATCAGCCGCCTTACCCCCATGTACTAACTAACTAACTAACGACCCGCGATCAGGCTGAAATTCAGCCTCACTTCAAAATAAATTTGCACCCAAATCAGATTCAGGAAATATATTCTTGACTTCGGTGCCAGTATGTGTGAAAAAAATTATCAATCAATTTACAGTGTGCAAAAAAAAGGGGAGAGGAGACGGAGGGGAGAAGAGAGAGGGAGAGGGAGAGGAAGGGAGGGGAGAGGAGATGAGAGGAGAGGTGAGGTGAGGTGAGGTGAGGAGAGGAGAGGTGAGGAGAGGAGAGGAGAGGAGAGAAAAAAACTGTTTCCTTCAAACAGTGTTGAAGATGTTGACACACTGACTGTGCATCTCTTTAAAGAATTAAGAAAAACTAATGAATCTCACATTTCTAAACTGAGCTCTAAGTTCACACATTCTGGTTCATTCAAAGAGACATTTGAGGTTTTGATAAGTAGCCCATCATTTCTTTCTGATGCTGATTAAGGCTTGACGTACTTGCACAGTGTTGGGCATCTGAAAGTCCTCCTGTTGCTGCAGCTCTACGTGCAGCCTGTGTTTCCCCTGCAGGCTCTCGTTGTCTCGCTGTAGTCGACTCAGCTCATCCGCCACCTGCTCCCTTGACTTCACCAGCACCACCTGAAAAACAAACCAAACAAAATAAACCAAACCATTGCATCATGTGTCAAGTTTGTCATGCTGAGGCAACAGCACTTTCACACGTGGCATTTGGAGCAATCTGATTCCCCCTGCAGAGCTCGTCATTCTGCTCGGTGTAACACTGAAACTTAAGATGGAAGTATGAAAACCATTATTTTATCCAGATCAAAGCCAAACGCAGCAGACTCATTGTTCTGTTTGTTGTGTGTGCAATGGCACAGCTTGCAGCGGCACATTCATTATTAAGAAGGTTTCTGTTCTTTCACGTCTTCCTCTTTTCTCCTCACTACATGGACAACGACCAGCTCGACAAAGGGAGGGCACTGACATCATTTATGAAATAATATTGTAACATTTGAAGGGATGTAGAGCGTTTAAATATTTTATTTTCTGTTGTGGGGATTGAGCAACACCTGCACACATTCAACTGCTTTTTTTTTCCTAGAAGCAGCGATCCTGCTGCCAAAAGCTCTATGATGTCAGCAAATACTTGAGGTAGGGAGGAAGAGTGAGATTACGCAACAGTTTGCAACATTTTCAACAAACAGGGCTCCCACACGTTCAAGATTTTTCACAAGATTTGATCCCTTTTTTATGACTGAAATCACACAGTGCTGCACTAGATTTAAAGGTCACATATTCTCCTCCTTTTCAACAATAAGTCTCAGAGCTCCTCAAAACATGTGGGTGAAGTTTCTTGTTCTAAATCCACTCTGATCCTGTATTTGATCATGTCTAGAAACCCCTCTATTTCAGCCCTGCTCAGAACAGGCTGTTTCTGTGTCTGTACCTTTAAATATGTAAATGAGCTGTATCTGACCACGCCCCCTCTCTGGAAGGGCTTGGGTGTACTCTGTGCTTTCTCGCTCCATGTTCTATTGTTTATGGTGAGAAGGCAGACTCAGAGGGCAGAACAAACACCTAGCTGTGGGAGTGTCACCCACCTGGGGAAGGGGCTACTGCCCTTTGTGATGTCATGAAGGGAAAATCTCCAAACGGCCTGTTTGAGCACACATTTTCTGAAAAGTGGAACAGGCAGAAGACGGAGTGGATGGACTTTTCTCATGATTGGGGGGTTTGTAGACAGACTAGAGACACATGTTAGAGTCAGAGGAACATTTAATTTAAAGTAATTTCAGACCTTAATTAATCATGATCAACTAGTTAATGCTGACCGTCCTAATATGAATTAGTAATGACTGTGGGAAATGCAAGAATATTTAAATAACTGAGAAAACAATCCAGCAGCTGAGGACTTCACATCGTGTCAGCATAGATTTGTGTTGTGGATGTAATGTGACGTTACGACGTGAAATCCAAAACCTTAACAGGCTGCTGTTTCCCCGAGCTGGGATTCAGTTTGGCTGCACGTCTGCCTATTGTCAAAACAAAAATTAGCACTCTTTTTTTTTTCTCCCAGGGCTTAAGTCCCGCCAGCCTCTGGTTTCCTTCTCATGTCAGAGTCTGCAAACGCAGCTGGTGAGAATGAGCAACATGGAGCTAAAGGACGGATATGCTGGCTCACCATCTGGTCCTGCGTGTTCCTCTTGGCTTCACTGAAGGCCTGCTGCAACGTGTCGAGCAACGTCTCTGACTCCTGGACTCTCTGCAAGAGGGCAGAGACCTACAAACACAGAAATCATCTTCAATTAGACGAGAGAAAGAAACTACAAAGAGGACTTTGGACAACAATTAAAAACACAGAAAGCTTTTGTTCATGCTTATATTATCATAAATGAATAACACTAAGCTGCACTTTTGTTAAATTATGAAGTGTGTGAAGATGATTTTAGCAAAAGGACGCATCGCACCCTCTTTTTAAATTTCTGAGTGGACGCACTTGACCTGTTCGTTCACCAGGGACCAAACGAGGCGGCAAAACCACAAGGAATATCAAACATTTGGAGAAAAAAAAAGCATCTGCGACATCAACATTGTCATTCTGTAAAGTTGAAATATTTTCAACAAGAGGCGGGGGAGCGGCCGCATAAAAAAGGCAGAGCGCTCAAAAAAAAAAAAAAAAAAAAAAGACGTTGCAAACGCTCTCTCCTCATAAACAATTGAAAAAAAGACGCTGTCGCTCAGAAAAAAACACCAGGTGGAGACGGTGCCATGGTTATTTTGTTCTAGATCCATTATGGCCAACATGGGATTCAAATGAACGTCAGTCACGGCCACACTTCTTGGAGTTGACATATTAACATATCTTTACAGTTTGGGCTGTTCCCTCCATACCTGCATGTGTTTTGAAAATCATTTCACTTATTTAAGTTAGAAAGTGATTCAGCAAGTCCAAACCTTAGCCGTGGTTTCCTCGTTTCCTGCTTTGACCGAATCTTCCAAACTCTGTTTCTCGGTCATCGTCCTCTCCAGCTGGTCGTTGGCCTGACGAAGCATCACCTGCAGCTTCTTCACCTGGAAGACAGCGAGACAGACATGAACATTTTAAAACACAATGCCGTGCTTGTAAACACACTCCTGGTTTGACGAGAACGAAGACACACACCTGATCCCGTGTGTCCGCCTCTTGTCCTTGGATGACCTGCAGCTGCTTCTCGTAGTTTGAGCACATATCACAACGGCGGCCGAGCTTCCTGCCTGCGTTTTTCACCTGGTGACAGACCGACGAGAACACAGGTTAGTAATATACATTATATTTTTTTATTGATGAATAAATAAACATTTCAGGCGACCACATTTGAATTCCAGGTGGCACCATGTGAGGTCGTGACCCCAAGGTTGGGAGTGTCTGCCTTAAACACTCAGAACGCACAGAGGTGATGTGTCAGAACGAAGGGAGGACTTCTGGTCAAATCTGTTCCTCTTTCTCACAGAAAATAAATAAATACCCCTGAGGCACCTCCCCCAACATTATTTGTCATCATCAGCAGTAAAGTGATGTGATTGCATTTATATATTATATCTTCTCATTTAGTCTTGGAATCTTTTAGTCTTTGCTTATTTTGTGTAAATTCTTGATAATCAATGTTGTGCTTTTCTGCATAGAGAGCACAGTTCATTAAAGTCAAATTCCTTGTGTGTGTGTGTGTGTGTGAGCATGTCTGGACAACAAAGCAGATTCTGACTGAAAATATCTTGATCAACTCTTAGCTGCAGCAATGTTAAACGTCGACTACAGTGGAGGATGGTCATGTGGTACGATCAGACACACAGAGCCGAAGATCCTCTTTACGATATACTCCTGCTGCTCAGGTGTTTTTTCTTTTCCTGCCCGTGCACAAAGAAACAACCTCAGGTCGGCCTTTCAAAGACGCTAAACACAACTGCAGATCTTTGAAAAACAGAGGATCAGATAATTCTGAATGATTTTTTTTTTAGTTGAAAGAGGGCATCCTTGAAAAGTAAATTATTGTCTCCCAAAAAATGAGAAATTTGATCTTCAACTAATCCTGTTAGTAAAAATGGAAATGTTTAATCTTCTGCAGCTAAACTAAACTTCTACCCTGTGCTGCATGTTTGTCCTCTCATAATGATGTCATGTGTTTCATGTGTTTCAACTCGTCAGTGTTACACCTCTTGCTGCAGCAGGTTCCACTCGCTGTCGCTGACCAGCCTGTAGCCTGCAGGCGGTAAGAAGGCGGTGTCGGGGGCGTGGGAGATGCTGGACAGCAGGGACGCCGTCTCCTCTTGCTCCGGCGTCATGGCCTTGATGGCCTTCTCCTGATCTTTAGTCAGCAGGAAGTGACTCCCCGTCAACTTCATGGAGCCGATCGACGCCGTTTCACCAAAACTACTGTCCGTCACGCTGCAGTCGGCGCCCACCAAGGGCCCAAAGTCCGACTCGTCCAAGTGGCTGGCCGACTTGGCCTTGTGGTTGTGGCCGCCGAGGCCCTGCTGAGAAGAGAGTGAGGAGCCGAGGCTGTCTGTGGACTGGACTCTGCGCAGGTTCTCCTTGTAGGGGTCCATCAGTCCTCCTGCGACCACATCGGTGTCTAAGGAGTGCATGGAGCCGTGTGCGCTGTGGTTACCATGAGGCTGAAACAGAAAGAGCAGATAAATATATTTTGTACAATGTCATCAATTTGTTCTTTAGCTTAACTTGATATTGAAAGAAAGCTCGGGCTGCCTTTACGATCAACAATAAATGATTTTCCAGCTACTGAAAACAATTTACAAAATAAAAAAAAGGATCGGTAGAAGATCGAGTTTAAAGTTTCAAAAGCATCGACTTTAAAACCATTAGTGTTTTTAAATCTCCAGTTTCCGCAGGGTGGGTTTTAGATGCTCGAAACAGGACACACACACACACACACACACACAC